CTCTAGAGATATCCTCATACATTTCCTCCACCTCCTCATCGGGGTGTGCCGAGGTTGGTGCGTAAACCTGTATGACCTTCAGCGAATACCGCTTGGTGATTCTGAGTATAAGGTACGCGACCCTCTTCGACACACTGCCAATCTTTACAACGTTGTTAACGAGAAACTTGTGGACGATAAATCCGACACCTCCTTGGGACAAGTGGTTGCGCTCCCGGTGATAGAACGAGTTGCCAGATTCGAGGACCTTGTCCTCCCCCTCTCTTCGAACCTCGGATAGTCCTATAATATTCCAGCGCAACTTGTCTATCTCTTCTTCCAGCTCCAGGATCTTCTCGTCAGTCCTCAGGGTGCATGCGTTATAAGTTGCCAGGTCAAGTCATCGTAGGTGGCAACCGAACCTCCACCGGAGATTCTTAGCACCCCTGCCCTGCCGTTACCATGGTCGCCACCGTAGCCAGGAATAGCGGGGCCGACGGGGACTGGGGGCAGTCTCTTAGTCACTTTATTTATTTTTGGGGGTATATTGCCATAGTTGCCACTCTTGGGGAGCGGGTTAGCAACCGCAGTTTTTATTGTGATTTTGCTGTTATCAGGAAGATGCTGCTGCCCATCTCCTGACTATATCCCACTGTCGCCTCTTACGACACCCATAGATATTCTTAACCGCCACTACACAGCTATAGTTTTTCATTATGACATAAATCACCCGAGTCTGAAACACCGTAATATATCAAATAATAACCTAACAAAAACCATAAAATAAAATCCATGTTAATAAGTCGTTATAATCAAGTTTGTAACGTATTTTTTTAGTATAACTATCCAGATATATTAAAGTGTGTATACAGTGTGTTTTTCATTTTAGTATTTAATTCGTCTACCGAGCTAACAGATACAATCGCGTTGGTATCATCCGCATAAATAGTTAGTTTTACATCATGCTGTTTGGTATGTGTGTAAGCAGTTAAATTATTAATGAATTTTACGTGGTAGAGCTATGCTGCAGCTATATTAGTAGTATAGTTGTAGCACGAATGGGTCGGCTCGACCGGGGAATGATCACGCTCTCACAGAAAACCAGCGTAAAATAGCAGCTTAACCCTGCTGTGTTTCGTATGGTGAGTGTAGAGAACCGGAGACCCTATTTACTGGCAAAGAGGCATTTCATCTTAGTCCTCACGGGTGACAACGCATCTGTATCTTGAGTCTTTATTGAGGATAGATGTAGATGTCTATGGGTCACAGTAACCACTTACCATCAGGTGGACTGTGTGCTCGTTTGTCACCCTATTCTATAAAAAATTATTATAAATAATATGTGTCCCAAAATGGAGCACGTCCTTCGTTATGGTTGTCAATTTAGTTTTGTATACCGTTTCTTCACCATCTATTATTGTTTTAATCTCAACAAATTGTTCTCTATTTGATAAGTAGGATTCCAATAACTTTAAAATTGAGCATCTAATTCCGTAATGTTCCAATTTCAGTAGCAGTACATCATGATTGATTGTGTCAAATGCTGAACTTAAGTCTAAAAATAAACCTCCTACCTTATATTTATCATTGAGTCTACATACTACATCATCGATCATCGAATTGGCTCTCATTTAATATGGAGTTTTGTCGTAAATGTGCTACTAATCTTACCTTTATCAGCTTTTCGTAAACTTTTGATAATATAGGTAGCAAGGTAATCGGTTACTTTAGTTAGTTACTTTATTTGTTGTTTACTAAATATTATTTAATTTAAAAAAGAAACATTTAATTATAATCAATTTTTATAGTTTATTTTTCTTACATGTGTAGCTTGATTCGATGTTATACTACATTTAAACTTACAACAAGAATTTTCCATGACAGAATGATATTATCAACTAAGTTCAAAAACAAATATTGTCGATCCTCAACGGAACGGATATTTTGAAATAGCGTCTACGGAATTGTACAGAATTTTTTATACCAATCTACGGATTTGGAGAAATTTGATTATAGGTTCTCGGAACCGGTTTTTAGAACCGGTACATCGGAACCCGAACCGGAACCGATACCGAAACTGGAACCGTACCGAAAAGAGGAACCTTTATAAGAACCTAAATGAAGAACCAGAACCGAAATTGGTACCGGTATTCAATCCCTGGATTTAACATATAAAAACAAATTAATGGCAATAATTTTACTGTATTTTAAAGAACATTATCTGTCTAGAAAGGAATTGATGGACCCTCACCATATATGAAATGGAATAAAAGAGTTATACAATATACCATTTATTTAAATTTATACAAATAAATAACATTAACGTGTCTGTTTGTAATGTCAAAATTACAGCTTTTTAATAAATTCATGTGAAAGTATATACTGTACTAATAACAAAAATACAATTTTAAAGTTTTTGTCTCTGTCTGTTTGTTCCGGCTAATCTTCGAAACGGCTGGACCGATTTTGACGGGATTTTCATTGCCAGATAGCTGATGTCACAAGGAGTAACTTAGGCTACTTTTATTTTAGAAAAAGAATTAGGGTTCCGGGCAAAAAAATTTAAACTCCAAATAACACGTGGGCGAAGTCGCGAGGAACAGCTAGTAAAAGATAAAATACGATACAAATTAAATTACTTCACAGTACACAATAGCTTTGACATAACTGTTACCTTATATTAATTCTTTTGACCAAGCATTAATACAAAGTAACCATCTGGCTGACTCATAACTTAACCTATTTCTATGTTTTCTAATTACTAATGACGCTTTAGAAAATAATCTCTCAGTAGGTACTAAAGTTGCAGGTATTGAAAGAAAATCAAGGGTCGTCTTCGATAAAATCGGATATTTTGTCTCATGCGTCCCCCACTCTAAAATATCTTCCGAGCTGGCGGCTCTGGGTTTACTTAGGTACTCCTCCAACTCGGAAATAACTAAGCCTTGAAGACAAGACCCAGATCCATTTTTACACATTTCAAGTGTTTTAAAAGTGTCTACAATATTTATCAAATGTGTGACGATATATTCGAGCACTTTGTGTTTTAAAAACACACACTTCCAAAAGTCGAGAGTTGCAGTGAACTTATTGAACATCTTTATCTATTAGTAATAATAATAATAATAGTAAGTTTAAAAATTATAAACCCATATAGTTAATGTTATAATAGTTACTTACTAGAATAAATTTTTATGATATCTACCTATCGTTACCATTATCTAATATTACAATATTCCTTGCGAGATCAGCATAATGTATTCGTGTCCACTCTGAGCACCCGGAAACTTATTTTATTCTTTGGAACATGTACTCTGTGGCGGCAATCAAACAGTGTCAAATGTAGTGCAGTGCGTGCGGCGCGGCGACTACGATTGTATGCGATATCAATAGAAGTCGCCGGCGCGTGTATCTTGACCTTGTACTTTCGAATAGCTGCAAAATTTCTTTGACAGGTCAGTATCCGACCTTTGATGATGCCGACAACAAGACGCCGCGCACTATCAACAAGTGCCGATGTTAAAAACTAATCACAACAAGTGCCGATGGTCAAAACTGAGACACACTGTTTTTCCTTTAATGGATATTTTCATCCGCTATGTATGTTTATGGTATTGTTCGTAATGCCCATAAGTCCAATTTTCCAATTTTTTTAATATAATTTTTGCGTCTCATAGAATCCCGAAGCGTATACCCGAACTCCTATACTCCCTGAAACGACACTCAGTCCTAACTGCAAGACGCAAGAGTCTCGCAGGCTTAGTATTGTTCTTGCTCAAATCTTGCAGGGTCAGTCTTGGTCTTGGTCTTGCTAAAAATAGGCGTTCTTGTTCTTGATCTTGGTCTTGCAAAACGGCAAGAAGAAGACCAAGACTGCAAGACCAAGACCGATTTTGGGCAACACTAATCTTATTTCGGAAAAAGTACCAAAATTCAACACTGTTTGCTATTTCTTAATAAGAATAGAACAGCACGTGCATCGGAATTGGCAGTTTCAAATCAAAATATCAAATAAACATGGTGCCTATTTCTCAAACAGTATAAAATGATATTATGAAACGATGTTGACTGGGTAAAAAAAATAAAATATATTTTCTGTCACAGCAATTACTTTATTACTGTTACAAAGATTTAAAATGTTTTTTCGACAGTAAATATAATGACAAGTATTAAGAACTAACATAAAATCAATGTTCTCTCTAGACAAGATTTTTGTTATGAAATATTTTTCTAAAACATTACTGTTGAAACTCAGCACCAGTAGTGAATATTTCAATTTTCAATTTCAATTTAGTTTATTAGTCTCTTCACAACTACTACTAACTAAGGACCTAGCGTTGTGAGAGACTGGTGCCTATTATAGGTTTTATATTCAAAACATGGGTTTATGATATATACATGGACATATATTTAAAATTTTATAGCAATATGTGCTTCTTCCTATTTTTTTAATGCGCTATGTAGTTTGATTTACGTACTAATCAACAAAAAATATTTGAATATACATGGCCAAACAATTCTGTATGTTAAAGTTCGGCACAATATTTTTGCACGTTTCGAAGAACTACCCATGTATGTGGCCGGCCTAATACTTTGTTAGTGGCAAAAGGCTGGAAGCTATGAAAATTTATTGAACGCGTAGTGTTTCTATCTAGTTTGAGAATGAAATGAAATCCACAGAGTAGGTATCTTTTTATACCAAGGAATGAAATCATTATTTTGACGTTTGTTGACGACTGTCAGGATTTGAGTTTTTCTTGGCAAAAATTTCGTGTTTCTTTGCAAAAATTCAATAATCCTTGCAATTAAAAGCCAGTAGAAGTCTTGTTACAGTTCTTAGAATGAAATAGTTACCGTGACTTTATTTTTTATTAATTATTCGATGTAATTTTTTCTAAATACCTACATAAGTTTACAATTTTAAGGTGCATGAATATAGATTTCTTTAGTATCTTAACAGCGAATATCAGAGATATATCATAATTTAATTTACAGATATTGTAAGTATTTGTTCGGAAACAATGGCTGATAAGGCTTTAACCCTTGGTCAGCGAGTGATGGTAGTAGGAAAGGACGTGAAAGGTTCGGTAGCCTACGTTGGGAATCCTACTTTTGCTTCTGGAAAATGGATCGGGATAATATTGGATGAGCCTAAGGGAAAGAATAACGGTACCGTACGTGGACATGCTTATTTTCGTGTAAGTTCGAAATTTCCAGTTATAAAAAATTATTTAATAGTTACTGGATTAGCACTAAAACATACAAATAGCAATATTATGATATACTAATGTAAGTTTATACTAGTACTATAAATTAAACTTTATTTTGGACATTTAATTATTTCAAAGAACTCATTTTAAAAATTCCATTTCATCTATCCATTATAGCCTATAAACAGCCTACCTGAAATAAACAGTTGTTTAACCAAAGTTCTTATGAGACTGAACAAGCCGCAGATCAGGATAGTAACAACTGCTATCACAGTACATGGCACCTTTAACAAACATTTATTTATTATAGGTGTTACATATAGTCCCCTATGTAGGGCATGTTATGGGGGAGGAAGAAACGGTGGCCCACATGCTACAGAAATGTCCAGAGGTCGCTATGTACAGGGCTAAACATCTCAGCACGCAGGGATCACTCCCCGAAGTTGCATGCAATATCAAAGGACTATTGAGCTTCTTCGGGGAGATCTCATGGCTCGAATAATCACATTATTCCTGCCCACACGCAAAATACGCGTGTAGACGTGAAGTTGCAGAAAACAGCTTGTCGTAAACTAAAACTAAAGTACAGCCTATAAAAGTCCACTGTTGAACATAGGCCTTCCCCATAGGTTGCCTCAGAGGAAGATTTCACCATAGTTGACACTTGGCAAGCAGGTTGTCAACCGCAGTCCTTTATTGTTTTGAGTTATTATCAGAAAGATGCTGCTGCCCATCACCTTTTTCAATTTCTCTCTGTTGCCTCTTATGACACCCATGGGATGATAAGGGGTAGTGGATATTCTTGCACAGCCACTACATGGTATATCATCTATACATCTATACAAATAAATAAAATTAAAGTGTCTGTTTGTAATGTCAAAATAACAGCATTTTACTAAATGCATATGAAAGTATATTATAAGGTACTTATAACAAAAACACAATTTTAAAAGTTTTGTCTGTCTGTCTGTGGTTTTTCCAGCCAATCTCTGGAATAGCTGGACCGATTTTGACGGGACTCTCACTGGCAGATAGCTAATATTATAAGGAGTAACTTAGCCTATTTTTGTTTTTGAAAAAGAATTAGTGTTCCACACAAAAAAATTAAAACCATCCAATCATAATAAATTACACACAGGTGAAGTTGCGGGGAACAGCTAGTTTTAAAATATCAGCACATCGGTTTTGAATCGGAATATATGTACTTATTAGAGATTCTCTTGGATTGTGGATTCCGTGGATTCCTTTAAGCCGCTGTGTAGTGGCGGCGTAAGAGAATCCAGTTGTCCTGTGGGTGCTGTAACAGGTGACAGAGGGAAATTAAAACAAGATGAACAGCAGCATCTCTGCGATAACAACTCAAAATAATAAAAAAAAACTACAGTTTGCCAACTCACCTGCCAAGTGTAGAAACTGGCAATGAGGCCATACATTGGGGAAGGCTAAGTTTAGACAGACTTTCTGTAATGTAAATGTAACATAACAAATTACGTACAAGATGACTGATTGTGAGCATTTTTATTTTAGAGACATGTACTGTACTAGGTTATTCTGTTAAGAAATTCTTGGTAACAGCTCGGAGTCAAAAAGTTTTTGGTATTTCACCCCATTGCTTCGATAAGCACATAAAGCCGATGGTCCTGCACCTGATCTCTCTCTGGTTGTGTTGGATTGTTGTTTCATCGGACTACAAAATCTGTCTTTGCGCACATACTTGAGCACTATAATCCTGTTTTGCTCAGATGGCTTGTCTTCGTTGAGACTGGCTGCTGTGACCGAAATTCGGTTTGAAGGAAAGTATTTATTATTATACAATACAAAACAATTTCAGTGTGAGGAGAACTATGGCGTTTTCGTACGTCAAACCCAAATTCAGCTCTTGGACGCAGAAGATAATCCCATGGACACCTCAATGACCACTTCGTCTGAGGAACCAACGATTATGAAGTCATCAAGCAACAGGCGCCTGAGCAGGTATGTGCTTTTGACTTGTAAAGTATGCAATCCAATTGTTTGATGGGATATAACAGTTTTGAAAAAGGTTAGGTACTGATTTGAAAAGGTTTTAATATTAATATTTGCTACCTAGTAGTCATTAAATGTACGCTTTTTGATTAAACATTGGATTGAGAAGGCAATTCATTCAAATAATTTGAATTTTAAATCTAACACGTTAAACGATGGAGCCATTTTTTTTCTTAAAATTATAATAAAAAGAATGTATTGTTCAGAATAGTTATTAACATTTTCATAGCCATTGGAGATACACTTTGTCACCGATTTGAATACTTTCACTTCTTAATTTTTTTTGTTTTGGTTCTTAAATATAATTGGTATGTCATATTTTCTTATGTAATGTTACATTATTTTGGATTATTTATGTAGGTAATAAAAAATATTTTATAAATATACATATTATATTTCATAATTTGAAATAAGCATTTAGAAAGGGCTGTATCAATATTATCAAGGTATATTGCTTTAATCCAATGTGTGAGGTGTTTCAATTGTGATTATGATGAATACAATGCATGATTCATATAAAGGGTCTATTTATGAATTGATTTTGGGTTGGTAGATTAGTCAGGGAGGTCTAAATACTCATGTTGTTTCTCGAAGGATTTGTCAGCATATTAGCATGTTATAAACATTCAAAGATATATCATTAATGAAGGGTTATTAAATAGAAATTATAAATTTTAATTTAATTAAATAGTTTCAACATATTTCTATGGAAGAAAGTATAATAACGTTGCCTAAAGTGTTATAACTAATTAGTTAATTTATCATGAAGCAATTTAACATGATTAATATTTTAATTAAATTCAAATAACTTATTTGAATTAAAATTTTAAAATTAATTTAAAATAGTGTAAATATAACGTCATTTAAAAGCATTGTGTGTTAAAGTCCACGCCTGCAAATGGTACCGCCAAGCCCTGAGAGATCAAATATGAGGATCAAACGGTATACTATAAACATTAAGTACAGGATGCAAATAATGTTCTATATTTCTGTACTGCTAAGTTCAGTGTTGCCAGATCTTTACTTTTTTTTTAATAGAAATGTTAATAAATTTAATCATCCAGTGCTGCTAGCCAAGCTCTTTAAATTGCTAGGATTTAAGGATAGAGTAGACATAAACTTTTAAATATTCTTATTACTGTGTAGAAGTTTAATGTTACAATAATTTTTTAGTATTTTCTACTGATTTGGTAGTTTAAACTAACATAAGTTACCTTTTCATTTAACATAGCTAAAACAGCTATATAGGCAATAGCGGTTAAAGTTATTTTAATTTTATAAGTATAATTTTATATGATAGAATACTAATATGCAAATTTCTTTGAACTTATAACATTTAATTTTTAATGCTGTGGTGATTGTAAGATAGTTTAATAAAATTTTAATGTGTATGATTTTGTAATATAAAACTTTTTGATATATTTTCATATGTCATGCTTACAGTCATCACCCTTTTTCTCTTATTAAAATATAGAGAATAGAAAAAGACAACGCTATGAAAATAGAATTGTATCTTTTTGTGGCCATTGTTAATTCCAAAAATAATAAAAATGCCAAATTTTTTAAATATTTTTAATTATTCAATGCCCTATGTTGTAATCATAAATTCTTCAATATTTTTATTTATTCATATTCTTTTCCAGTTTTTGTCTTTTTCAATTCTGTCAAATTACATAAACTGTTATTACTTAGATTACTTGTCTGATAGAGTTTGTTTCTTTCTGGCTAGTATAACAGTGGCCCAGAGGTCTAGACCAACCACGTGAGTACTGGAACAACCGTGTAGATCGGCACTCGCTTTAGCTTATTCACACCAACCAACAGCTTTGTTATACTACTGATCTATTTGGGAGACAAAAATAATGTTCATCATAAATTAGTACTTGATAGCATTTCCGTTCATAAAACTCTTAAAATTGAGTTTTTTTTTATAGGATAGTGTGACAAGTGAGCATACAGTTCACCTGATGGGAAGTGTATGCTGCGGCACATAAACATCTACAGCTATTTATGATTAAGAATCAAAAGACTGGGGTGACATCCCCTGGAGACTAAGATAGAACACCTTGTTGCCACTAAAAAGGCTTTCCACTTTACTCTCACCACTGTCATTTTTTGCGTAGTAAAGATTTCTCCATCTTACATTAAACTACATTAAACAGATTAAAGTGGTGCTTCGCTTGAGGCTGACAACCGCTGGGCAGTCAAGAAGTGTTCTTTAAGGCCCGTATTAATAAATGTTACTCAACGACGAACTCAATACGATATCAGCATCTCAAGGTCGTTGCTAATTAATAAACACATAAAACAGTATCTCAAATTACTACTTAGGAATACTGTTTTGTGACTTGCACTCAAGTAAACACTTGAGAGTCTAGTTTCGTTTATTAATCAGTGTGTCACTCAGCCGATATCGTAAACCTAAACCGCATCTTGAGATATATTTATTAATAAGATCATAACCTCAATATTGTACTCAAGTGCGCGTACTTGAGCTGAGTAACGTTTATTGATACGGGCCTTAGACTGCATGAAGCTTTAATAAACTTCAGTACCAGTATTTTTAGCAAATGCAGTTTTAAAAAATTCTCGCTTTTACATCATCATAATATGACGTATATGGCTTACAAACTACGTCTAATATCGAGTTACGTGCCAGTTTCGCCAAATTAAGGCGATTTATTATTTAAATATTTTATTTTAGACAATTTTTTTTCATATTTTCGTCTCCCAAATTGTTACGAAATCTGTTGCAATACTCTTTAATTTTCAATGCTTTGTGTTGTTTCTGTTCTGTCTTAACTCTTACCTATAATTAAAAAAAAAAAACTTTTTTTTATTATAAATAAAGGTTTATAGCGTTTATGTTTGGAATGCTAATTTAAATTGCTGACATGTGCGTATTTATTAATTTGCGTTTTTATTATTATCCATAAAAATCTTACACGTGATTCTTGACAAATATTCAGCTATAGATACTTTAGCTTTTAGACTAGTTTGTATGGGCATTAGTATCACTATCAAAAGCGATGCTATTAGTAAAAGAGCCAATTTAATTTGGCAAATAATATTTTGTGTGTAAGTAATTTTACTCCATAAAGTTATCAGAATATGGTTCAAAGGCGTAATTAACGTTGATTGTTATTGTGAATATTTTACTGTGTGGCTATACTCATTTCGCATTTCTCTTTAAATGTTTTTAAGAGAAATGGCAAAATAAGTGTCGCTTGCGTTAGAATATTTTGAGAGAGACACAGAGTAATGAGTTAATTTTAATATAGCATCGGTTTTCCTAGTGGGTTACCCCAAATCATTTTAAATTTGAATATACCTTTGCTTTTATTTTTGTTAAATATAAAATAAAGACGAATAAAAATATGTGTCTAAGTACATCAATTTATCAAAGTAAAGAAAAAATTACTTGTGTACAGAATGTAAAAATATAATATCACAATTTTTTGGCCATTTTATAGCCATTTTTTTGCTTAGATAAAATGGACAGAATGCCACTTTCGACTTTATCACATATACTTTGCATCGGATACGGGTACGTTAGACTTCTGTGTTTACATATTTTTCACCTATTATAAGGTAATGTTTATCCTTAACTGTAGTCAAGGATACTAATCCCACACTAAATGGTAAGTGGTGATGTAACCGCAGATATAAAGACGGCGTAACCTAACAAAATCCTATTTATTCTAGTCGTAAACACACCCATATTATAATTGGATGAAATGACAGACGCTAGCAAATTATTTCACTCTTTCGATGTACGTGTTATGACCGAGGAAGCAAACCATTTTTGCTTAGTGCGTGGTATGCTGACAGGGGTATAGGACCTGCCGGGCGTCTGGTTGTCCAATAGTGGGACGGAGAGGGAGAAATTAAGTCATGTTATTCTTTTGTAGCATTGTAATATGTCTCTCGATGATATTCGAGAGATATCGCAGTATTTGCAATATATGTGTGATATTTTAACTGAAAAAATACTCTATTGTACATGTACACAATTTAGATAATAAATAGGTAGCCATTTATATTGAGTAAATTTTTCTTTACATAATTGATTAACTAATATTTTGTGTGGATATTTGTAAATAATCTAAGTGCAATCTATACATATAATAAAAATGTAAATAGCCGATGTCTGTACATTTTAGATTTATATAATAAAAGTGATTGAGTAGTACTAAAAATAAGTAATTAAATACATTTCTACCATTTTTAGAATTTTCTGTCTGTCTGTCTGTCTGTCTGTCTGTCTGTTTGTTTGTTAACGTATCACGTATAAAGTACCAATTAATATCAGAAGAATCGTTAAAGAATTTATAAAGTGTATCTTCAGGTTACATTTAGTCTTTATTTCATTAAAATTAGTTCATTCCATCAAAAGTTATGATAAATATTCTGAAGTATGGCTACAAAGTATAGGTACGAATTTGTTCAATGGTGGCGTTTGTTGAGTCATCAAGTACATTTTAAACTAATATCATATTATAAATCATAGCATAATTAAATGATGTAAAATAATGTTCTATAATGATATAATTATATCTAAAACGCAGTAAACAAAAGTATTGCATAAAGAACGTAATAAATATATTAAAAAATATATTAACCTTATTATGTAAATCTAAAGTACAATAGTTAACCCATTTCATCGATAGATGGTGGTGTTGCACAAATGTCAAGCAAGAAGGCAGGTTGTGGTTTTTTTTCTGTAAATGACTTTTCATATTTGCTGTTAATCTTTAAATTACTCGCTGCCCTACTGTGTATTGACAATATCATTTATTCTTTACCGCCGAGTACTCTACATGGTAAATCAAATTTTAAAAGAGCTATTAACAATTTCGTTGGTTTCGGCGAGGATCAAACTTTCTTTCTTGCTTACGATGTAGGCCTGATTCATAAGTTCTTTTAAGTTTTTTTATTGTATCAATCGCGTCAATTAATCTCTTTTATTTTTAGAATTGATTTTAACAGCGCCATTTATCCTTATATCTCTATACATGCGGTAATCACATGCTGTGTCTGATTCTGTACATTGTATAGTATATTAAATTGTGACTAAAATCATTATGGAGACTGAAACTTATTAAATAAGTACATTTTTATAATTTTTAGAATTGTCTGTCTGTCTGTTTGTTTATGAACGCATCACGTCTTAAGTAAACATATTTTTTCAAAGAAATTGTTTAGAAAATCATAAAGCGTATCATCCAGTTCAAAGATTAACTTTGTTTTATTAAAATTGGTTAATTCTATCGAAAGTTTTGATTATTATTTTGAAATGTAGGTTCGATTTGTTTAAAGGCGCCATAAAACCTCAGAAATAGTAATAAAATGATACCTTTTTATAAAAAAACGTTTTATTATAATATATTTATACTTTAAACACAGTAAACAAAAAATATGTTTTCCTTAAATTAAAAAAGGATGTCTTCCACGAAGAACGTAATAGATGGCGTTGTACGTTAACGAGTCCATTCAAGCTGAAAGAGCCGTGTAGGGTGTAAGCTAACAGCACAAACATCATCAAAAACAGATATCAGAAAAAAGATACGTACGCCCAAGCTAAACGTAGCAAAATTGCATCAAAAACAATATGTCATGATGTTGTTTTATACCAAGAATCCACCTTATATCAAATAACTTTCCTTTCAGTTGTAAGCGTGTTCTGTTCCCACTTCCCATTCCCAGTCAGCGTGTGTTATGCGATGACCGATGATCGTAAATAAAGCGCAAGGTCAAACTTTACGCGTTGCAGGAGTGGACCTCAGTACTGAATGTTTTGCACAGGGCCAACTCTATGTTGCTTTTTCCCGCGTTAGTAGCCCCCGTAACATTTTTCTGTACGCCCTGGCTGTCTACTTCTAACGTCGTTTACACAGAAGTTCTATCACAAACGACTCAGAACTTTGAGCATAACGATTTATTTTGGTGCCACTTATTCATACAGTAATGATATAAATCTTTTAATATTCTCTTACCTAAACGTCAAATTCTTTAAGTAAAACTTATATACGCGAGCTACGCCGCGGGCACAGCTAGTAAGTAATATGTGTGAAACGTTTCATGCTCCAACATTATATCATGATCAAAATAAATGTGTAACTACTAACATATGTTGGTGAATTCCCTACGAAGCGTCAGGCGGAAGGCGTCGCCGGCGCAGACGAAAGCAGGAACCTTGTCGATGTCGAGGTAATGACTGTTGTAACATGTAATAAAGCACATTACTTTATGTAGATTGCTTGGATAGTTCAGCACTGTGATAGGGGTAAGCACAAGTCTATAAAATGCAAACAATGTATGTACTGGCCAGTTATATTTTACTCTTATTTTATATTGTTTTATGCTGCAACGCTTCATTTAATATTATTTATTTTTAAATATTGGAAATTTAATTAATGATCTTTGTTGAATTGTTTTACACCATTAAAGTAAAAAAAAATATTTTAATTAAAGTTGCGTTCTTCTTGCCTTTGGTTATTTCCGAATCGTTTATTCATTTCTATATTTTAAAGGGATCTTACACTATAACTTCTATAATTATAGGATAACTTTGTCTATGACAGTTTATCGCTTTGTAGTTAGATGGTTTGGATAGTTATGTTATATGATCTGCTCATCAGCTTAACAACTATTTATTATTCCATCATTTGTATTGTGATTATTAATATTAATGTTTGTTTAGCTTTAATAAAAAAAGCGGCGAACTTATCTTTTAGTTAAGCTCATTGGATAGTTGAACATTACGATGAAGCCACTGCATACGAGTCAGTGTCGATTTTGTGTGAATTATTAGAATGTTGAACAGGGACCTAATGGCATAGGTAAATGTTTATGTTATATTAGAACGTCTGGATAATTTAACACAGTAAATCATTGTACAAGAAGCATTATAGAAATCACGAATATTATGATTAATTAATACGAGGGCGGCACTGAAAATTTCGGGAATCAAGGAAGTGACACAAGATTACTATTTAAAAATGTATTTATTGCTTTTCGAAGTATTCTCCGCGAAATTTGACACATTTTTCCATACGATGGAACCAATCATTGAAGCAACCATTCCATTCGGAAGTTGGGGTCTCCAAAATGGCCGTTTTGTAGGCGTCCACAGCTTCTTCAGGTGATGAAAATCTCTGTCCACGCAATTTATTCTTTATTTTAGGTAAAGTATAGAAATCATTAGGGCTTAGGTCGGGGCTGTACGGCGGATGGTCTAATAATTCTATGTTTTCTTGCTCTAAAAACTCTTTTGTTCTGTGTGCGGTGTGAGAACTCGCATTGTCGTGATGGAGGATGATGCGGCTGTTGCAGTTCTCTTTACGGAGTTCAGAAACGACCTGTGGCAAACAAATGCTAGCATACCATTCTGCATTAACCGTTCTTTGTCCCCCAAGAGGAATAGTCGTAACATGGCCGGTTTTGGAGACAAACGTGGCCACCATTTTTTTTGCAACACTTCGTGAACGAACAATTTTTGTTGGCTTTAACTCATTTTCGAACACCCAAACTCGTGACTGGTTTTTTGTTTCGGGTTCGTACGCGTATATCCAGGATTCGTCACCTGATACGATATTGTATACAGCATTTGAGGATCCTGCGTGGAATCTTTCGAGAGTTCTGACGCACCAAGTAACGCGAGCCGCTTTTGCTCTTCATAACTTTTTTACACCTAATTGTACATGCAAGATTATTTGTATTTGACTCATGCCAATGTCTAAAGTTGCCTGAATTTCGCGGTATGTCACATGTCGAACTTCCTCAATCAGCTTACGCACAGCATCAACGTTTTCTTGGGTGACTGCAGTTTTTGGACGACCTTGACGGGGATCATCACTGAGCTTGACACGTCCACGTTGAAATTCAGCAAACCAGTTGAAAGGGCTTCATCACTAAATGCAGAAATCATCCAGTCAACACACTGTTTTTGTGTTAAACCACTTCGAAAGTCATAATAAATCATCGCTCTTGAATTTTCTCGAGTCAATTTCATTTTCTCAACGACTAAACAAGTTTGACAAAACCTTGTGACAAGACCGAGAATCTTTTTTTAAATAAATAAATGGTATTCGATTTTTAAAACCAAGGAGTTTTCAATTTTTTTAAAACCAAGGACTTCTCAATTAAAAAGATTTTAATATGACAGGAACAGTGGAAATATTCCATTCCCGATACTTTTAGTACAGCCTATGTATAATTGATATTCGGTACTTTGGGAACATGGATATATTTATGAGAAATATTTCCTTATCCTATAATACGAGTTACGATGCATTAATATTACTATAGAAAAAGTCCCGCTTTAATGCTAGTTCTAAGCAGATCAGAGACGTTCTTAGAACTGGCACAGAATTAGAGATAAAAAAAATGATTTTAAATATTAATATTTATAATCTATATAAAACTAAAATTTCTAATCGATTCACACAGCTAAATAATTTTTAATGTTAATGCAAAACAGGAATGTAGAGATTATCCTTTCCTTTTTTATGAAATGTTTTTATAATATAAAGGATGTGTAATAATGTTTAGTATACCATTCACAATATTATGTAAGTTTCATGAACGTAGATCTTACGAAATAGAACTGAAAATATATTGACTTAATATATTGATATGTTTCGAAAGTAGCGTGAGAGGTGTGAGAGGTGTATGATGATGACATGATTTGATATTTTATTTACATGTAATTATTAAAAGCATAGCATTATTTGATTTTATTGTTATTTGGCAAATAGTTTTGTTAATAGCTTCTTCATTAAAATTGTCCCTATGCATGATCCCTAACAATATGATAACAACATTAACACATATTTTTCTATTATTTAAATGCACACTTGATTGATAACTTGGTGTATGTGGTACATTAACTGATATTGTATGCATCGTAAAATAAAATCATTCACATTGTAAATAATGCGCACGAATTCCGATCTAGTTACGTTAGATTATATTTATTACAATAATTACAATAATAACAGAATGTAAACCTTTTGTAATGGCAACACTGCTAAAATTCTCCCCAATTTTAGGCAAATCGACTTTGTCTTATTAAATTTGTTTTGAGATTTTTTTTATGTCAAAAGTAAGAGAATCAATTTCTAATTTCGCCCCATAAATAAATTAAGGCATGTTTCTTGGGTACAGAGCCTTCCTCATTAGTTTGTGGAGTTTGAGTTTTACATTCTCGAATGAATATACCGCCATCTGTCGGTCGCAAGATCCTCGTCTATATGTTTATATGATTATGAGTTAGTGGGTTGTATTGCTTGCTGGTGAGTTCTACATGATTTGAAGTCTGCACTCTGCACTTCCCTTATTCTATTGTAAACTTAATTATTATTATTTTATACTTTTAACCGTTACAAACCAGGGCTTGACTACAATTCCACTGGCTGGTAACTGGTGAGGTAACCGAAGATGGTAAAGGGCACTGACTTAGCTCGTCATTATTATTTTCATTTATTACAGCTTATCAAAAGTTCTTTACAATATGCATAGATTACACCATAGTAGGAATTTCGCCATAGTTGCCACGCTTGGCGGGCGGGTTGACAAAGCTAATTTTTGTATAATTTTCAGTTAATGATATCTTATATATAGTTATACGAACATTATATAGTTGTTAACTTAGAGGACATACAGGGTTATTTTTCAAAGAGCAGCCAATTTTTAAGCGTAAGTTCAAATATATAAATAATGATACACCGTTCTTGCAGCTTTTGTAAATACGAGTAAATAATGCTTCTACTTTTATTTGAAATTATCCCACACTAAATGTGATTTATGGGCAACCGCGTTTTTGCCTACCGATCAACCCTTACTAATGTTAATGTGTGCGTGAGTAGTAAAATAGTAGGCGTTAGATATTTATGAATGAAAATCGGTTAAAATAATGTATTACCACGCATTTTGAATTTAAAAAATAAAAAGGACAAAATGTTTGAGATTAAAATTTAACCAATTTCCTATATAACTTATTCTGAACCTTCTCTGCAAATTTGGCCGGTTATTGCTAAATAATCCTGTATAAAGACAAAGATAAACGCCGTAGCTTATTATGACTACAGCACAATGGTCGGCTCGACTGGTGAAGAACCACACTCGAAGTAGTATCTATATTTCGTATTGTAACGAAAATCGGAGTTTCTAATAACGAGGAAATCCATCTTTGTCCTCAGAGGTGACGACACATCTTCATTTTAACTTTTAATCTAATCATATCAAAATTTCTAAGATGTGATCAACGCACACTTTTTAAAAATAGTTCTAAAGCAATCTTGGTTCTGTCAGCTCGAGGACCTCTCTCGCGAGCAGCCGCCAGTCTCTTACGTCGTATACATCACCAACGACGGAGAGGGCTATGTCACCAGATCTCACGAAGAGGGCGTCGTTTGTCGAGGTTTGTGCAGTTCAGATTTTTTGTTGTTTTTTTTAAATTAATTTGATATTGATCATTAGCCTGTGAAAGTCTAGGTGTTGGGAGGATGTACGTTAGTATAATAAACAATTGGCAAAGCGGTTGGCAATCATTGTACCAGATTTGTTTCAAATTGGTCGACGTTTTATATTGTATATATGTGAATTTTTTAAAAAAATATTCATTTTTTTTTCATATTCTTAAGCCTCCTCTACACTATTCGCGAAGTAACTTTGACGAAGTGCTCGTCGAAGTCGATCGCAGTCCGAAGAACGTGACTACACACTCGTGCTACTTCGCGAAGAGCTTAGTCGTATTGAGTCTCCCGTACCCTTAACATGAATAACGTTCAAGAGGCAGCTGCTATAGGTACCTAATTGTGTGAACACTAATGCGTTAACTAAATAAATAATTATGTAGAAAGCTACATATTTAATATTTATATATATAAAAAATATTCATAACTGGCATAAGCTGAGTAGTGTAGTGAGACGCTTTGTTTAATTTCGGGATCCTTCGCGAAGTCCTTTGACTCTGGCGCAAAATATCGACAGCGATCGGAAGTCGCCCGAGGCGAAACGAGGTTGCACGAAGCGAATCGAAGTACCTCTCTACACTATCCGCTTCGCCCAACTTCTACTTCGCGAGTAGTGTAGAGGAGGCATTACATTATCATCCAATTCTGATCTATGTTCAAAATTTTATGTATTTATTTCATCGGGAAGTTAGTTTAAAATTAATTACTAAATTTCATGCGAACAGACGTACGAGTTAGTAAAAGACGTGGTAAACAGTCGTAAATCATCATACTACTGTGTAGTGGCGGTGTAAGAATATCCACTATCCCATATCATCCCGTTATATTTGACTGCCTTGTTGATCTAGTGGTTAGTGGTAAAATCAGTTAATAGGTTTTTCTGTCGAGAAATCCTCAGTAGCAGAACGTAGTTTGAAAGTTGTCAACGGCATTACATGTAATCAGAGGCACGGGGGTGCCGGGAAGCCGTTCGTCCAGCGTCTAATCTCTCTCCAGTCGTGTTGGATTACCGTGCCATAGTATTAACGATGGGCGATTATTACTGAAACTATTCGAATTTGTCGATTGGTCAGTTTAGTCGACAAAATTCGTTAACAATCCATTGTTATCGACGGCGTGCGGCGGGCGTCAATGACTGACACGGTTACCGTGACAACTCTAACTACTAATTGGTAGTACAGCGCAACCATTATTCGTATTACTAAATAAGTTGTTACAAAAGATGGTGCGGCGGGCTTGCGGTGCGCTTGCGCTGAGTCTGTGCGCCACTACTTACGTTACTGCAGTTAGGTACTATAGGTATGCGATTGGCGCCAATAGATTATTTAATTTTCTGTTTTGTATTGTAATCATCTGAAGGGCTGAATCTGAACGACAGGGTGAGAAATAGTGTAATAAGAGAAAAGTGTGGTGTGCAAGATGACGTTGTGACAACGATTAAGAAAGGAATGATTTGGTGGTTTGGTCATGTAGAAAGAATGAACGAGGAAAGAGTGAAAAAGCAAATTTATGTTGCAGAAGTGAACGGCAGGGTCGAGAAGGAATGCCATAGACGAAGGTTTATCGACCAAATCGGCGATACATTAAAAATGGGCCAGATTAGGAGTACCCTTAACCGACGAGCGTGTATGCGTAGATATATGGATGTAAAGGAGGCGAGAGAGGTGTGTCAGGATCGCGCCAAATGGAAGTCCGTAGTCTCTGCCTACCCCTCTGGGTGACAGGCGTGAGAATTTGTGTGTGTTGTGTTTAGTACCAGTAATTTATCGATTGTTATTCGAATAATCATGCCGAGGAACTACTAAATTGACAATCGAATGCGCAATAGTACAATTTTCGATGCAGTCTATTGTTTTTTTTGCGACAATCGGCAATAGCTAATCAGTATAAGTATGAGAGTGAATTAATAGAGGGTGCACTTGCTTTCGTATACACTTGGTTAATATAATGTTGTCCTGCGAAGATCTCTAGTCTTGACTGGCCGCCGCGATCATCGGTCTGGAGGACATTATTATCATACCGTGGGTGTCGTAAGAACCGACGTAGTGACGAAAAAATCTTACACTTTTTGTCGCCTAGCTCCCATCCGCCAAACCCATACCGTCTGATAAGGAAGTTCGTTCCAAGAAGCTAGGTAAGCATGGGAGACCTATGTTCAGCAGTGGCCTTTAGATAGACTGTAATGATGATAATAATGCTCTATTAAAAAAAAAGTTCTTTTCTCTTAATTTTTCTTTTAAGTTCTTTAATTTTTTTGTGCCATTTAATTATCTAAGTATATAATCGATAGTCTATAATGAAATATTTCCCCATTCAAGATTGATTTTTTCTTTAACTACAGACCGGTTTTGTCGAGACGTTGACGCCGCAGTACACACCTGGACAGAGCATTACGTCACCGCAGACCGCCTCCACCGCCGTGGAGGATAAACTAGCCAACATGCAGGCTCAGCAAGAGGTACGTTATGAAAATAAAGTACCGCCTAAATACATTTTCCAGCTGGGTGCAGGTTTCTTATAGACATGTGTCATTCATTCATTTCTAGTGACCCGATCGTTCAAGTATTGATTCGTCTTACGAACCAGGTCATCCGGGTGGATCATTCAAATGGATCGTTTACGAGTTTCAATACTCTGTGATCTTTGATCGTAGGTCCTGTCAATCGTTTGATCCGGAACGTTAAGAAAATGTAATTGCAATCATCAATACTGAGCGACCGGGTCAAATTAACGAATCATTAAAGATTGACACATCATGTCTAGTTTCTTATTACTGAGAGAGTTATGTACTGTGTAGTGATGGTGTAAGAATATCCACTACCCCATTTCGTCTCGTGGGTGTCGTAAGAGGCGGCAGTGAGAAACTAAAATAGGAAATGGGTCAGCAGCATCTTCCTGATACCGACTCAATGTAATAAAAAAACTGCAGTTGCTGACACGCCTGCAAAGCAAGGTAACTGTGGCAAAAGCCTATGTTGTATGAGGCCTATGTGCCGCAGAGGTGTTTTATAGGCTGCAATGAATGGCTGGATAGGATTTTGGTGCATACAGGTATTCTCACGGAGTTTTAGTTTACATTCGAACACGTGGTAAATCAGTACTTAAAATTGGATAGTACTTACTTACTTATCTTCACGCACAATCCCTGACGGGGTAGCCAGAGAGAACAGATCGCCAAGTGTCACGATCCTTACATACCTCTTTCGCTTCTTTCAGATTCATTATCTTCTTCATACATGCACGTCTAGGTATCCGAGTACTCTTGACCCTACCCTCTTCGAGCAATTTGCTCACATGGTCTTCGAACGTTAGTCTCGGTCTACCTCGACACCTTTTAATATTAACTTTCGCGCTATATATTTTCTTCACCATTCGGTCTTCACTCATTCGCTCAACGTGCCCAAACCACCGAAGCACGCCCTTATCAATTTTTGTGATAAGGTCATCTTTCAAACCTGCCATATTGCGAATCTCTTCGTTTATATAGTGTTATGCATTTTTAAATAAAACTAATTTTACGGATTTTATCGCGTATATTAACTTATTTTTATATATTCCCGACGTTTCGGGTGCTTTCCAGCACCCGTGGTGACGGAGGACTCACGAAACGTCGGGAATATATAAAAATAAGTTAATATACGCGATAAAATCCGTAAAATTAGTTTTATTTAAAAATGTGTAGTGTTCGCGTAAATATAAGAAATCATAGTGTTGTGCAATTCATACTCAAGCATAAAGTTTCGTATGGTGAATGTAGAAAATCGGAGACCCTTTTTACTAGAAACGAGGCATTCCATCTTAGTCCTCAGCGGTGACAACGCATCTGCATTTTGATTCTTTGAGGACAGATGTCTATGGGATACAGCATCCACTTACCATCGGATGGACTGTGCGCTCGTTTGTCACCCTTATTCTATGAAAAAATGCCTCGTTTCCAGTAAAAAAGGTATGCGGTTCTCTACACTCACCCTACGAAACACAGCAGCATTGAATTGTTATTTTACGCTGGTATTTTGTGAGAACGAGGTCCTTCCCGACCATTCGTGCTACAACCATAATATAGCTGTAGCGTGGCTCTATATTTTTGTTACTTATTATATTCTCGTCATTTACAGATCACAAACCTCAAGGCGGAAGTTGAGGATCTGAAAGAGAAGCTAGAGACTCTGAAGGTTAGGCGTGCTGAAGATCGGGAGAAGCTTCGCGAGCTCGAACGTCTGCGTCTCCAGCTTGACCAGGCTAATGAGTTCAAGACCAAGATTATGGAGTCTCAAGCTCAACTGCAACGAGACCTGCAACGCGCCAAACAGGAGGTAAAAACTAATTTTTTAAGGTGTTGTCGATTGGTTTAGTTTCTCATCGCTTCTCAAGCTTTTTAATGTTGCCATCCTTCGAAAGTAAAAAAAAAATAAAACATCTAAAATCTAACATTCTTTATTCTTTTTTTTTTTAAAACGAATAATAAAAATAACTCCTATATTTAACATAAGATTTTCATAATTCAAAGTTGCTCAATTTTTAACCTATTTTGAGTTATCTCCTTACCTTTTTTGATAGTTTCCAATAAAATAAAACCTGGGATTTGCTACTCCAGATGGAAAAACAATGGTCCAAATTTAATTCAAGTATTCGTCACAATGGAATGTGACGTAACAGTGTGATGACGACAGCTTGTATAGGACTTATGTTGGACAAAGACATAAAGAGCAGGCATGAATTTCTTGAAAAAAAAAAAACGCAGCGCCTGCACGTTTTTTTAATCACCAATCTATGAAATTTCGATTTGGCATATTTTGATAATTTTCCGATGTCAGTTGATCGTCAGATATTTGTCTGTCACATTTGGCAAACATTTGGCAAAAAGCTTATTCGTCGCCTTACTTTAACTAATATAAAAGTAGTAATTTTTTTTATTTGTTTTTATTCTGTGCGTTCCTATACCAATCATCGTTAACGAAACTAGACCGTTCATTTTCGTTCATCGACTAGTCGATCAACCAGTTGAATTTGTCATCTAGTTTACGCGTTAGCTTGGTTTTGCAGAAGTTTTAATTTAAACACCACGATGTTGTCTATGGTTTGACATAGTCGACATCCGTAGACCGTAGACTAGTGTAACGACTTGATGTATTAAGTCGTCTAATATTAAGTCGCCCTTCTCTTTTGCACACACGATTATACCATGACGGGGCATCCTTTTCTCCACTTAACACAAAAACAAACTGGTATTTATACTCTTACGCTGTTTAGAGTTCTAATTTTTTTTGCGCAATTATGTCGTTTCGTCGAACATAATATTAACTAATATTATTCGACCACGTTCTCGCGTCAATCGTCGCGTTGCTAGTCGAAATAAACGTTATGGAGTTCCAATTTAGCCGACTACGGATTCGACTAATCCATTGATTGTTCGTAAACCGTCTAGTCGTTCACAGTACGTCGACGGTCGAATTAACTAGTTCGTACATTCAACGCTCATCGCTATCTATCGTTTCTGATCACAAAATTGTTAATATATTAACTAGCAAACAAACAAATAAATTAACATATTAATATATTTGTTTGTATGCTGTCACATCTATATCATTATAATTGTAAAAAATAATTAAAACTAAAAGGCCTGTGTTCAGCAGTGAAAGAAATGGTGTCTTGTCCTGTATGTCTATCTGAATGAATATAGCTTTACATGAATCATAAAGTGAATATACCTAAAACGCACATTTTCAAGGTCCGTGAAGCACAAGAAGCATTGGAGGCCCATAACGATGAGACCGCGGAGCTTCAAGAGGCAGCGGAGATGGCAGCGTTGGACAAGGAAATGGCCGAGGAGAGGGCTGAAGCTTTACAAATGGAGTTGGAGCAGTGCCGAGATAAGTTGGAGGAAGCTACTCTTGACCTTCAGCTTATGCGCGCTGAAATGGAAGCCGGTGGGAATATCCGTAAGTTTTCATTTGACGTTTTCTGTGGCGCTTTACGACTCTCAATCGTAATTTACGTACATGAATACATAGAAAATAATTTAAGGCTTGAAAATATAAATTATTGTCTATGGAAATACTGTTTACATTAAAAAAAGGATGAGTTTATACTGCACATAATTTACTACCTTCCCTTTTGTGTCCACCCATGCTTACAGCCTAGGTAAAACCACTGCTGAAAATAGACCTAAAAACAGGCACGATATGGGGTAGAGGATACTCTCTCGTCGCCACTACACGGCAAAAGCTTTAAACGTTCCCTCCGAAATTGTTAAAGATGTCATCAAATGTTGACCATATCCATTATAATTTAAAATAACAAAATTTGTACAACCGACTTCAATATACATTATTAAGAATAACTCAAAAACTGTTGGTCACACCTTGATCAAATTTATATGGGGATCACATGAGAAGCACCAGATTTCAAATAAAAAAAAACAATCATCGAAATCGGTTCACCGATAAAAAAGTTATGAGGTAACATAAAAACAATAAAAAAAGAACATAAAGTCGAATTGAGTACTTCCTTCTTTTTGAAGTCGGTAGAAAAATGTATCGGACCATCCACAAACAACCGTGAACCGTGTAGTGACGGTGTAAGAATATCCACTACCCCATATTATCCCGTGGGTGTCGTACGAGGGGACAGACAGAGTGAAGCAAACCACAGAAGGCAGCAGTGTCTTCCTAATAACGACTAAAAATAAAATAGACTGCAGCATGAAATTCTAGAGACATGGACCATTAAACAGCGGACAGCTAGGCATCTAGTACTGCAATCGCCAATCTTAAACGGATGGCGATCCCTAGCGTGGTGATAAACCAATTTCAGCAGTCTGTGTCTCAGTAGACTGATCACAGATAGACAACGAAGATGATAATGAAAGTTGCATTATATTGGTTCACCTATTCTAATGTAGTCATTTTTCCATTAAATAGCCTATATTAATCCCACTGCTGGGTACGGGTCTCTGTACATAACATGTGGGTTCGTTTTAATTTTTACAATAAATATATTTCTCGTCCCAAACACAAAATAGCGGCACGAAAGTCTAGCGGTGACCGTTATTGCGCATAAGTCGCTCTAATTCACTCGTGCGTATCGTTTGCACGTGCTGATTAGCTCTGCAGTCGCATTCGTGCAATTTAATTCGTGCGCGTCGCCTCCACGTTTCGTTCAGCGCTAGACTTACGTACCGCGACTTGTACCTATAGTCATCTGCTTATAATTGAACTGTAAACATTTAAAAGCCACTGACGATGATAGTTCCGATGCTTTTATATTTTTATCTGTGTGATTTTTATAACTAGAGACAGCACACACGAGTTTACACAAAACGCTTTTTGTGTTATTTTAAATATGAAAATACTTATGTATATATATTTTATTGGTTAATATTGTGGTTAAGTAAAGAAAGCTTAATATGTTATGGATTAATGATGTCTAAGAAATATTTTTGTGGGATAATTATTTAAAATATTTCTAAACAAATAGTAAAATTAAAATTTTTGCCTAACCGACTTCAATATAAATAATTTATTGTTGATTTATTAAAACCGCTCTTACGATTTGGATAATATTTAAATGGAACCACCAGGGATATATACAAAATAAATATAGGATAAAGGATATATAACAAACAAACAAAAGAATTTTCCAAATTGATTCAGGTGTCTTCGAATAATCAGTTAACATACATTAAAAGAAAAATTGACTAATTATGAACCTCTTCCTTTTTTGAAGTCAGTTGAAAAGAAAGAAATGTTGTGAGTGTCATTTTAGGATTGTTAAAGATTTTATTGTATATACTAATATTACAAAAATCAACATAAACTTTTAATAAACACGATTACTTTAAAATCAATGAAATGCAAACAATTTAAAGTTATTAAAACACAGTGTGTCAAAAACCTAACAAGGTTTATCCACGATCCTTCATCGACGGCCTTCACGGACGATCTATGCCGTCGTGTATCGAACAATAATCTATTTGAGGTTCGTTTTTTGCCAAAAACAGCAAAATCTGATTGCAATGTGAAGCATTGTTTTCACAAAGGTTGGATTAGGAAATTGTAATAAGTTTGATAATTAAAACATTTTGAAAATCCAAAAGTGCACGCCTCACACGCTTATTATGTTAAATAGTGACGATAATTTTTAAATGCAAAGAATCTTTTTTTTATAGTATAGGGTGACAAACGAGCACACAGTCCACCTGATGGTAAGTGTTTGCTGTGATCCATAGACATCTACATCTATCCTAGTTTGCGAATCAAAATGCAGATGCGTTGTCACCCGTGAGGACTAAGATGGAATGCCTCTTTTCCAGTAAAAAGGTTCTCCGTTTCTCTACACACTCACCATACGAAACATAGCAGTTTTAAGCTACTATTTACGCTGGTATTCTGTGAGAGCGTGGTCCTTCCCCGGTCGAACCGACCCATTCGTGTTACAACTATACTACTAATATAGCTTCAGCATGGCTCTACCACGTATAATCTGATTTAAAAGGTGTTGAGTTCAATAACAAAAATCAATAAGGATCCCCCTTAGAATATATGGAATTTTATTTAGTACATGTATCTCAATCTATTGCTTACATTTCTATTAAGCGAGACGACTCACCGACGCATAGACAACGGACATTGTTTGTTAAGTAGTCTAAAGTGAATCAATTGGAAAATAAACTAATCTTATAATTCAATGTCTGAAGTTATTGTAACGTTAATAATAATATGGATTTGATGTCTAGCTAAAACTATAAGAACGATTTTATGTAGCGAAATAAAAAAAAAAACTAAATTCTACATTTAATTATCCATTTCTGTTTTAATTGATTTTTTATATTTGTTTGTATATTCTTAAAATGGCTTCTTGACATGCTAGTGTCACGAATGTCAGTAAACCTAAATTATTTTATTTCCTGTGCTTACAGTAATAAAAATTTCGGCCAAATGTACCGGATTTTTTTAGGAAAATTGGCATTAATAATAAAAACAATAATAGTAATGTCTAACACCTGATTCTAATCTAATATATAAAAATTAATTTTTGTTTGTTCGTATTTTATGCGTTATTGCTTGCATTTGCGGGAAGGTTATAGGCTTAGTACCTTTAACTTACAGTAGGTGGCGCGCGTGTCGTACCGACATACTTATTTGAACGTAATATCATTAAACTTCAACGAATGCATTATCATACGAAATTAAACAATATTAAAACGATATTTACGTAATTATTTCTTCTGCGGCAATTATGTATCGGGTAGCAGCTAGTTTGTTATATTAGACATCACAGATCAGCTCAATATCTCAACGGTCATATTTGGTCCATAACATATTTACCGTTATATATTATTAGTAGTCTATGTATTTACAGTATATATATTTCTTCTCTTATAGAGTTATATGCTCAACCAATGCATGTACGTATTATATAATTGCTGAGATCATTATGGTTGTGGTTTCATTTAGACGACATTTATATTATATTATACATTAGTAAACATATTTTTTATATTGTTATGTGTTTTGTTGCATTAATTATTTTGTTTATAATTTTGCAGCATGTTATTTATTTTATTGTCTCCCTTGACAACGACTTGACTATTATCGCTCCCATTCCTTTGAATATGTTTACGCCCAGTTTAATATGGTTTAATGTGTGATTGCGCTAAATGAGCATTTATAATCTTATAGTTTTGTTCCATGGCTACTGTAAGAGGTTAAAGGAAATACCAGGAGTGTTATAGACATCACCGACAAATCGTTATTACAATCTAATGACCATATAAATTGTTAGATCTAAAATATCCTTTCAACAGTGGTAGAGCCACGTGGCGGCTTTTGCTGTCGCACGGATGGGCCGGCTCGAACCGGGGTGGTACCACGACCTCACAGAATACCAGCGTGAAGTAGAGGTTTAGCTCTGCGTTTCGCTTGGTGAGTGCAGGTGGCCGGAGGCCCTTTTTACTGGAAATGAGGCATTCCATCTTAGTCCTCACGGGTGACAACGCATCTGCATTTTGATTTGTAATAGAGGATAGATGTAGATGTCTATGTGCCGCAGCGACCACTTACCATCAGGTGGACTGTGTACTCGTTTGACACCCTTATCCTATAAAAAAAACCTGACTAGCGATGTGCCAATGATGTATCGTCGTAATGAATATTTTAACTATAAAATTATTGCAGTGATAACAATATGATAGTTTATTTATAAGAGTGACGTTAACTACGTCAATATATGTACTAGGTTTTTACAGACCAGTGGTGAAGTAAAAAAAATATGTTCAATACGAATTACTTGTAAGCTAATCTATATAGAATTTTAAAAAAATCCTATTCCGTACTTAATTTTCTGAATTTCATAGTGCACTTTCCTTGAAATAATTTGCTAAAATATAATTAAAAATAAATATTACCTGACGTAATAAATTTGAAACTGCACGCGGCTCCCGTTAAAGTGGAGTAGGTTCTATCTAGTGCATAAAAGAATTGCGTGCTTATTTTATGGTTATTTTAGTTTAATTTATTCATACTCTAAATTTTACAGATCGAAATCATAAGTTTTAGTAACAGTCGCAAAGACTTGAATTTATTATTATACGTAATCTTAATTATTATTATAAAATACAATAGACAAAATTAAAAATACATTATGCAGTTTAGGCTAATAGTAGTAAAGTATGAAAACAAAATCTACTGGAATATTATTAAAAATCAAGTGTAAATAATGCTTATTTTACTTTGCTAACTGAGTTAACGCGTCCAAAGCGTGGTACACACGAGACGGACATTAATTCCTTCTGTAGTATGTAATAATAATATAATAAAAACATGTTATACTACAACTGTAGGAATTGAAATAATGGCCGCACTATTTATTAATCTAATTGTTGTAGTATAATATGAGAGCCCATCACACCATCTCGTCCTAGGTGTACTAGAAATCAATCCAACTAAAAATATCCTTGCCCCTTTCCAAATCAACTCTACTATTCATTCCTAAGTTATCGACAGACGCAAGTACTGACCGACGCAGGGAGACAGTGCATGTTTTAACACGACGTAACGTAGCCGTGGACGTTTGTGAACGATCTCATTCCAAATAGTATCAATTTTGGCAACAACAAATTCTTTGTCGTGAGCGATCGGTTCTCGTAAACGTAGAGGGATTAAATTTAATCTTTTTTGGATATGGCAATGGTCGAATTAAAGTAAAAGCCTATATACATACCTCCTTTCAATATTGAGAAGGTTTTTGATGTAAGGAAGAGTCCGTCGCGCTGCATGCATGATGGCTGACTTCAGACGTCGTAGAAATATTTTTAATTTCTCATAGTGCATATGTATCTTACCAAAGTTTCAGTTATGAATTTCATTGATGCTAGCTAGTTGTTCTACAAACTATACCAAACCACGGTCTATAAATTTGTTCTAAAATTAGCGGCATTATTCTAAGTGGTTCATAATTTAATATTTTATGTCAATAATTTATCATTTTATTATTTCTCTATTGGCTAAAAGCACGGTAAGCAATGCAATAGTCATGGTACCTAGTTTATACTCTAAAACCTTCGAGTGCCTTTTTATGAGCGTTTAAACCTAAAGTTGTTGCATCTCTTTGTGTATTCTATCGCATCTATCACGGGGAGTGCTCTGAGGAATTCTTCGGACTAATTCCAGCCGCTCAATTTCACCATCGCACATCGCGACAATACTCGCGATACCATCCATACCATCTGGATGATTGGCGGTCCACCACTGTGCGATTTAGAAGAAGTTTTCTCCCTCGCGCAACTTCCTTGTGGAATCGATTACCACCAGCGATTTTTCCGGACCGATACGACTTAGGAACCTTCAAGAAAAGAGCTTACACCTTTCTAAAAGGCCGGCAACGCATCTGCAATTCCCCTGGTGTTGCGGTTGTTCATGGGCGGTGGTAGTCACTTACCATCAGGTGAGCCGCATGCTTGTTTGCCCCCTCTTCTATAAAAAAGCTACTTTTTAGCGAATTAGTCATGTTATAATATATCATGAACCATCCGTAACCGATCGCGATCGACTTTAATCATTCGTTCACATTCCCAAGTGAACGGTTCGTTTCACGGGTGTCCGCGTGTGTGGTACGTGTGTGTACGTTTGTCGCGTGTGTAACGTGTGCGTGCGTGGCTCTGACCAGAGCACCCGTACGCAGCGGCCGATGGCGGCGCCACCGGATACGAGATGAGAGCCCTGCAGCAACAGAACGTGCGCCTCCGGGACACGCTGGTCCGTCTGCGTGATCTCTCCGCGCACGACAAGCACGCCATGCAGAAGATGCAGAAGGTTTGTACAAGTTCAAACTGTGACGTTGCTAAGGGGGTTGGTGGGGCCATAGCCCAGTGGGCAGTGTTTATGGGGCGAAATTTTGGCAATAATATACCTACCACTAGTAAATTTCTCTAAAATAAAAGGATAAAGAAATTCAATCTATATACAAATAAATAAAATTGAAGTATCTGTTTGCAATGTCAAATTAACACCTTTTTACTTTATGCATATGAATCTATATACGGTACTTATAACAAAAAAAACTATTTTTAAATTTTTTGTCTGTCTCTCCGTCTGTCTGTCTGATTGTTCCGGTAATCTCCGAAACGGCTGGACCGATTTTGATGGGACTTTCACTGGCAGATAGCTGATGTTATAAGGAGTAACTTAGGCTACTTTTATTTAAAAAAAGAATAAGGGTTCCGCGCAATATTATTTATATTATATATAGTCATCACAGCCCTTCACAAGTCCCCTGCTGAACATAAGCCTCCCCCAAGGAATGCCACAAAACACGCTCCTGAGCCACCTCCATGTCTTACCAGGTCGTAACTCCATCTAGTGAGGGGACGCCCAATACTTCGTCCGCCGGTACGAGACTAGATATATATACTAATGAATATTATTAAAATAAGTTGAAGACTGTGGAATTGACACTTGCCAAGGCTATGGATAGGTTAAAAACACCTACATTATGAATATATACTACTTTCCCTGTCCCATGAGTTATATATTCTATTTAGCGGACTGGGAAACTTAAATAATGAACAAAGACTATACAAGACTTCTTCATTTTATATTTGATTGTGATTTTTGAAAGTGAGGTGGGGTAGGTTGGGAAAGTGTTTTTTATGTGTGTTTTTGACTCTAGGGAGCATGAGGCCCTCTACGACCGGCAACAACTAAATCACTGACATCATGTACTAATTTTTCACTCTATTCTTTTACTGTAATAGTCGATTGTCACCGTGTGATGTAGTAGTCTAAGTCTCCGGCCAATACTAGCACAGCAGGAGCCAATATTTGAACAAAACCACAATTTGCTGGTTTCGTAGGCTATGCCCGATTATATTGTTAATGTTGCATTGAACACGAGTAGGTTAGGACGTACAAGTACCTCTGTGTGATACTATCATCTGCGTTGTGGACAACTTTCTTTGTCAGCGTTCTAAAAGACTACTACCACAAAACTTATGTTCGAAATTTAAAAAAAAAAACTTCGCAGACACGGCGATTATAAAGAAGAAAATACTGTGAAAGATATGTGGAATGTTTAGTACTGCGAACGTATCAATACGTATCAACACTTTGTCCACTTGGTGGTAAGTGGATGCTGTGGCCGTGGCCCATAGACATCTACACTTAGCCTCGATTAAGATTCAAAATGTAGATGCGTTGTCATCCCTGAGGACTAAGATAGAATAACTCGTTTCCAGTAAAAACCGGAGACCGGTTCTCTACACTCACCATACGAAACACAGCAGGATTAAGCTGGTATTCTGTGAGGGCGTGGTCCTTTTCCGATACAGCCAACCCATTCTTGCTACAACTATAAAATAGCTGCAGCATGATCTACCACGTATTAAATATGTGTGCGTACGTATGTGTGTGCGTGCGTGTTCAACAACAATTAAACTAAAAGTTGAAAACCTTAATATTTTATATACTAAAATCTTCCTGAAAGTATATAGATTAAAATTACAGCCTATATATGTCCCACTGCTCGGCACAAGCCTCCTCTCATTTCTGAGAGGGTTATAGTGCAAGGAAATGTCGGCCGCGCTGCCCCAATGCGTGTTGGCGGATTTACATGTCTTCGAAATATTTTTTTTACTCTCAGACTTGCCGGTTTACTCACTATGTTTTCCTTCACCGCAGAACACGTTGTAAATCAGCACTTAAAATTGCAAATAACCATTTCATTGGTGCCCAAATCAAACCCTGGTTGCTCGCGTAATGTGAAATTTACAGCGAGCGCTAACCCCCTCAGCTACCACGGCTTTCTTACTTTATTATCATCATTACATTATATAGATTACCACAAATATTGGTTGTGTGGTTTCAAATCAGTTAAAAATAGTAATGTAAATAAATGGAAAGACTACTTACTTTATTTGCCGAAATCCGATTAAATATGTATTTAAATATTTGTCATTGTATTAAACAAATATCTTACACCATTTTTATACCAGGACTTGGAACAGTACAAATCGGAAATAGCTGAATTGAGCCGTACGAAAGAAAAACTATCGGCAAGGGTCGAGGAGTTGGAAGCACAAGTTGCGGATCTCCGTGAGCAAGTCGACGCTGCTTTAGGCGCTGAGGAAATGGTAGAGCAATTAGCAGAGAAGAAAATGGCTTTAGAGGACCAAGTGAGTGTTGAATACAGTTTGTACAAATGGATGGAAGTGCCGAGCTCTATAGGGTCATTTACAAAATTAAGGTTATACAATCGCAACACGTACGTCTAGAGCTGAACAAAACGTGGAGGGGACGCGCACGAATTGAATTGCACGAATGCGACTGAAGAGCCAATTAGCGCGTGCGAACGATACGCACGAGCCAATCAGCGCTACTTATGCGCATTAACGGTCACAGCTAGACTTTTGTGCCGCTACTTATACTAGTAGGTGAGACACAAAAAAAATGATAAAATAATCTAAGCTTAGGAATTAAATGTTAGTCAGTATTGCGTTTTAGAAATAACGTAACTAAAGTTTAGTCGATATAGGCGTATAGAGATGGTATCAATGAATTTACCGATCTGTCTTTTACAGTTACTTACTTCTTTATTCTTTGAAAAAAAAAAGTTACGCCCATACTAGAATTTTCTCCTGTATTGTGGAGGCAGTTTACAAACAAATTACACTAGGACTTGTTCCGTGTGGGTTCCGAACCTGCAGCCGTCAGTGCTGCGACTCATTGCTAAGCCACTGCCCACGCTACGGAGCCGAGCAGATTCGTCGACTAAAATTCCATGGAAATAGGAACAGTGCCCCTGGCGGACGTAAAGGGAACTAACTATGTTTTGAAATACAGTCTTTCGATTGTGATACGAATTCGATACGATAGAAAATTAATGGCTCAGGTGACAGGTAAGTTGGACATGGCTCCAAAGTAATCTAGATAGACTGTTCTCGTTACAAAATCTGTAATGAAGCTTTAATTTTAATTACAGGTTGAACAACTCAAGCAAGATGTGTCCGAGCTGGAAGCCTTGCAAGAGGTCCACGAACAGCTGGTGGAGTCCAATAGGGAGCTAGAGATGGATCTCAGGGAGGAGTTAGAGATGGCGCACGCGGCTACGAGAGAGGTAAAAGACTTTTTTAAAGGTAGCTTAAAGCATAGCATGCTCTTGCCTCATAATCTAACCTTTGTCTTTTGATGCCCATGAGGCCGTCTGGGTATGAACTATCCTCTAACCTATTTCTCTACTACTGCACGGATAGCATGGGCTTGGGACAAAAAATATCCCCCGTTTATACCCACTGACAAGAGATAAAATTATCTTGTTCTTATGCCAAAGCACGGCAACGGGGAGAAGTATATCCCCGTTTGACATAACGAGTAGACATATATCCCCCGTTCGTAGCATGGAGTCTAATGAAACGAAAAATTATGCTTTTTTGATATTTGAAAGGACAATTTTATCCTAGTTCATTGGACGTGGGTTTAAGTTTATATTCATACAAAAAGTCTGTCTAAGTCTATCTCCCATTTTATCCACTGTGGATATTATATTCACCGGTGTGCCCATGCTCGAAGGGTGGATAAAACTAAGCGAGGGCATAAACATTTTCTCCTTTCCTCGGGGATAAAATTGTCCCCTGCCCATGTTGGCCTTGCTGTATTCTAGCTTGAAGGGTATAGAGAGTAAGAGTAATTACAGGCTTTTCTTTAATTGAGACATTCCATCTCAATCCTCAGATGTGACAACGCATCTGTAGTCGACTTTGCTTGAAGTTGGCTTCAGTAGCTACTGACTATCAGCTTTACTATGATATCTTTTATTACCTTAAATTAAAACAAAAACACTGTACTGGTTAACTTGCTGTCGAACTGCAACACTGCAATCCATGCACTGGTGCCAAGTGGAAAAAAACGTATGAAATATGGTGTCTATCCAGATGCACTCCTAGCTGTAAAAGAAGGTCTATTATCTAGAAAAATATTTTTTTGTATGAAACTAACGAACGAAACGAACTGACAGTCGTTCAAATTTGATAGTAAGTGCTGTCGATGGATATATGCAAACAACATCTACGTCATCTGGACAGTACCAGAATGTCAGATACATATATTGAATCTTAATTCAGGGTAGTTGTAAATGTTGATTGTATTCTCCTTTATTATTATGTTTGTTTTTTTTTATAGAACAAACGAGTACACAGTTTACCTGATTTTAAGTGGATGCTGTGGGCCATAGACATCTACATTTGTCCTCGATTAAGAATCAAAATGCAGTTACGTTATCAGCCCTGACCATTAATATAGAATGCCAAGTTTTTCAAGATATGTCTCATCATTTTCAAATGTAAGCCAAATTAGGAGTAATCTAATCGTTGAACATGTATGCTTAAGCATACGGATGTGAAAGAAATTAGAGAATTAGTGTGGCAGTATCGTATTAAATGTGAGTACGTAGTCCCCGTCTACCTTTCTGGGTAAAAAGCGTGAGAGTTTATGTATAGGGAGGAAGTATGTTTCATGTCTGAGATATTTTTTTTAGCGCCGAGCAAAATATCTGAGCAGTACTGAAAACTTTTAAGGTAAAAATCATTTGGCATTCTGTTTTTGTTACAGGCGGTGCGTGAACGTGAGGCGGCTCTAGAGACTATAATGGACAGGGACGCGACCATCGTGAAATTCCGCGAGCTGGTTCACAAGATGACTGAGCAGTATAACGAGATACGAGCACAACTTGACTCCAAAGAAGGTAAGTCTCATTGAATAAAAAAGTGCGAGTCGGGCTCGCGCATGTAGAGTTCAGTACCATCATAAAACACGTTTCTAGTAGGGAAGCCCCGTTTAATTTGTAATTTATTTTATTTTTATTATTTGTTGTTATAGCGGCTACAGAAATAAACATTCTGTAAAAAAAATTCAACTGTCTACCTATTACGGATCATGAGTTACAGCCCGCTGACAGACAGACGGACGGACGGACAGTGCAGCCATAGTAATAGGGTCCCGTTGGTTACCCTTTTGGTACGGAACCCTAAAAAAGGCAGCTTAACGTGTCCCAATGCAGGACATAGGGAAAGCCAAAGTCTATGTATTGTTGCGTGCCACTATTAATGTCTTGTACATGGCAACACTAGTTACCACTAGCGCCCTCTAGTGTCGAGTAGCAGAACTGAGAGAGTCATGATCCTTCTAGAAGTTTCGGGACCGATATGTACTCGAACACACAAGATGTTTCTACAGTAGAAGGTTCTGGAAACTATCTGAGGCCCTATAAAAAGCCGGTATAGACCACGACCGAGGAGTATTGAATTGGCGATACAAGAGAATACTTCGAAGCGAAATAACTGCGAACTAAAGTGATCAGTAGTACAATTGTGTTTTATTCATCATCATCATCAGTCATCATCAGTGTTTTATTATTAGTGTGGTTTTAAATTGTAATTAGTGTTCTGTAATTAAAGTGTCAATTTTGGTAATTCAATCGGCAGGTTTAGTTGTCTCCAACCCCAAGCTCGTAACAGTATGTACAGCTTGAGAGGGGATGCCTTAGTGATGGTGTGATAGTGATAATTGTAGTCTATACTTGGCCCTATGTATTAAGATCTATTTGTTTAATTCTCGCATTTCTAATGACATCATTTAATAAGCTGATTTGAAGTTTGATTTCGAAATCCAAACTTAGTTGTTAAAATTACTTAATACTAAAACTTCTTATTATAACCTCACTCAATGGAAATCGAAAGTGCATGAAAGGTTATTTCAATATTTTCGCCTTCATCTTTTATCTTGTTTCTTTATTTATATAGAATATGGGTGACAAACGAGCACAGTCCACCTGATGGTAAGTTGATGCTGTCGCCCATAGATATCTACATTTCTCCTCAATTAAGATTCAAAATCTAGATGCGTTGTTACCCCTGAGTACAAAGATGGAATGTCTCGTTTCCATTATAAAGGGGACTCTTGTTCTCTACACTTACCATACGAAACAGCAGCATTAGCTGCTATTTTACGCTTTTCTATGAGAGCGCGGTCCTACCCTGGTCTAGGCGAACCACTCGTGCTACAACCAATCTTCTTTTTCTTTATCACGAGCCCAAAGTCCAAAGCTGGCCTGTCCAATAGATTTAGGCAATATTTGCCACAGTTGCCACGCTTGGCAGGCGGGTTAGCAACCGTAGTTTTTTATTATTTTGATTTGTTATCAGATGCTCCTGTTCGATTTAAGTTTCATTTCATTCTGTCACTTCTGAAGACACCCATGGGATGATATGGGATAAAGGATGCTCTTACACCGTCATTATACGTTTATTCCTTACACGTAACTTATTTAATAAAAAAAACATGCGAAGATATTGCGTAGCATACATTTTACTAAGTTGAAGGACTTCCCTTCTGTTTACTGGTTCGTCTGGGTGGGTATCAGCTGTGCATGCACTATTATGTTTTCTGTAGAGTTATGAAAATTGGGGGATATGTTAATTTTATTATTTTTATTAATCTTAAAGTTAAGGGTGCATAGGGTGGTCTTAATGCTAATCAACCTTAGGTGTTAAAAATGTTTGGCAGGTGTGAAACATGTTACTCACATAAAGTGTACATATATTAATAATATATGTACATAGAGTTATATTATTTATTTATATATGTATATACAAGTACAACATGTAATAAAAGCCACGTGATGTTTTTTAAGTGTGTTATTAGAATGAGTATTCAAACATACATATAGAAATAATTTTACGTCAGAAAGTATAAATAAAGAAAACTCGACAAAATTTTTTTTGTCACTTGTATGTTGTGTTTTTATTACCTCTGCACTGGTCGAAGAGTAAGAGTTACTGTTAAAGATCTTGCTATTAGCGACGCGCGTGTCAGACAGAGGCAATAAAATCACATACAATTGGCAAATAAAGACGTGTATTTAAATTAAATAAATAAAGTTTATGATCGTTTTGTTTTGAAATATTGTTTTTTCTATACGTTTGAATACTGATTCTGATAACACATAACGGGAACCATGTGGTTTAAGTTGCATGTTGCACGTATACATTGTAGTGGGTGACGTGGATAAATAAATGAAAGGTGAGCGGTTGTTGCAGAGTCGGTGCGTCCCGAGCAGGAGTGTGGTGGTGTGGTGCAAGTGCGCGCGTCTCCAGCAGAGCTGGGGTCGCTGGTGCAGGCGTCGCGCGCCTCCACGCGCTCGGTGGACCTGCAGCTGCGCGCGCTCGAGCTGGCGCAGGCGCGCGCCCGCGCCGACATGCTGGCCGCCTGCCTGCCCGACCACTTCATGGCCACCTCCGGTCAGAACATTACTCATTTTTTACCGACTTCAAAAACGAGCCGGTACTCAATTCGGCTGTGTTCTTTTTTTATGTGTGTTACCTCATAACTTTTTACTGGGTGAACCAATTTCGATGATTCTTTTCTTATTTAAAAGCTGTGGTGCGTCACATCTGGTCCCATATAAATTTGATCAAGATCTGACCAAATGTTCCAAAAATTTTCAAAAAAAAAAAAAAAAGAAAAAATTAAATAGATTTTCTAACGTTGCGCTTGAAAATAATCGGGAAATTCCAGTGATAGCCTGCAAGGTTAACCGTTTTTCAAATTTTTTAAGTTATTAATCATATAGTTGACGTAATGCTCTGGGAAGTCTGCAGTCTGTGTACATATTCAAGATCGTCCCCACCATTACGTCAGATTTCACTAACCACAAATCCTCGCAAAAGAAGAGCACTTCATGACCACCGTCAGTCAGTGCCGCACTATTTCTTTAATACTAGTAATGACCTCCAAACCGATTTCAGTCACGGCGGCCAATATCAACAGAGACTAGTCATCTGCATAGGACAAGATTATAGTACACGAGTGTATGCGCAAACACAGGTGCACTGTCTATTTCCTAACTCTGATAGTCCAATGTAACCCACCAACCGACATTTTTTCGTGCTTTCCGAGGCACGCAGGTGAAACGCCGCTAACTTCCTTGCTCCAGACAACTACTGAAAACCCAACAACTGATTTTAGTCCGCCCCAGGACTCAAACCCAGAGCCTTATTATCAGTAACCCCTTATACGACGACTAGACCAAGCAGACAGTCAATTTTTTTTTAAATAAAGTAGGGCGTTACAACGTTCGATTTTGACCTTTTTAAAGAAACAAGTAGGACGCGGGATGTAAACACTGTGTAAGAACCTTCGAAGGAGGCGGAGTTCTAGCCGAAATAGGAATTTTAATTTTGTGGTTTTTGGCCATTTAGACCCCTTTGAGGAGTGTAATGAGAACTTTTTGCTCCTATTCAACCATGACCCCCATGACATCCTCTACATGATACTTCAAACTGACTAGGCCTAAAGTTCGAGCCACCCCCTAACTCATTTCTAGTCTTTACTTCCAAAAATAAACATCTCAACTGTTGCATCACAATTAATTTTGGATAATATTATTTATGAAAGGAAATATTTCAATGCCTTTGACAATATGAGTGTTGCCCATAGTTATAATACGCCCACTAAATCTAAACTGGCTGTTCCAAAGTACCGACTCCATAAATATTTTTTTTAAATACTAGCAAAGCTATTCACATTACTAAACTTCTCGTAAGCTTGAAATGCTTGTGTTAGGAGTGGTTCACGACAGTAGTCGAACAGCGGATTCGAACCCACGACCTTTTGGAGTTCGCGGTCCGAACTATACTATTAGGCTACTGTCGCGTCCTTTGCTTTATTCAAAGCGCAAAATGATTCTGATTTTAAACCTGAGACTGATTATAAACTACTTTTTATAATAAGACGGCTAATTTTGTACTTTCAGGGGATCACGACGCAATAATGCTCATTCTATTACTACAGCGGCTCAACACCAAAGCGGACATCATACTTGGGCAAATACGAGAAAAGTGAGTACGCCATCGATTATATATTTAAAAGGTTTTACTCGGGTTTTTAGAAAGAGTATCGGACACAATCATCTGGTTTCGCTTTTGTACAGCATTATTATTTACTAGGTGATACCCGCGACTTCGTCCGTATTGCTTGATATATTAACAAACTTTTCGTATGTCCGAAGGAAAAAAACGTCAAAAAGGATCGTAAGCAAAAATATACTTTGCTTACAAAATTTCAAGTTCATGTAAACAATGTTATTTGTTGCTCCGTTTGTAGCTAAAATATATAAATTATCTCTGGGTTAGTAACGCGAGAGCATGCGACGTACAGGTGACCGCGTGAAAAACCCCGTATAAAAATCGTCGCTTTAAAACCTTTTATTAAATGAAGATATCCTAATATTTTTTTAATTAAGGGCCAAGTGCCTCAGAAATAAAACTAAGAAGACCTAATTAAAATCTATCCAGTAGTTTTTCCGTGATCCTCGCACAACTGCAAACATCTATCATCTTATTTATATAGATACTAGCTGTGCCCCGCGGTTTCACCCGCGTATATCACGCGTCTGCGCCTTGCGACATGCGAACTTCGAGAGAGACATCACGACGGACGGTTGCTGAATTAATAAAGATTTAAAAAGTGAAATATGTTACTAAAATTACATGGTTAACGTAATTGGTGGTTACGCATGATACAGGTACTGATACGAATAATGTGGCCTAGTTTGTACCTGCGTTACTATTTCAGATTTTAACATGAAAAATTAGTTATTGTGACATAACTGTAATAGTTAAACATATGGTATCGCTGACTTGTTTGTAGATATTGATATCCTCTTTAAAACTGAAGTACATTACTTTGCTCTATTGTCAATAGTTTCCGCAGCGTACGTGATGTAAGGATTCTTTTTGGAATTTTTTTCACACTTTGGGTTACATTAACGAAGTTTTCATACGGATCCCTAACTTTTTTGAAAATATTATATAGCCTATGTTCATCATGGATAATGTAGGATTCTAATGGTGAAAGAATTTTTCAAATCGGTCCAGTGGTTTCGGTGTCTATTCAATTCAAGCAAACAAACAAACAAACAAAACTTTCCTCTTTATAATAGTAGTGTAGATAGATTACTGTCATGCTTACATTCGGATGTCATTCCTTGTACGTTTAAGGCTCCATTTACATTATGGCGGAATGGAATGGAAGTGAATTTTTGTAACGAAATACATAGTAAAATGAATTTTATGTTAATTGCGTAACGTGCAAACTAGATATGATAAAAGAAGACTCAATAATTTATATTGAAGTCGGTTGTACAAATTTTTTTAATTTTACCACTTGTGTTAATCTTTAATTTAGTGATGCAACGAATACGAATACGAATATTCGTATTCGCCGAATAGTAGACATTTACCGAATATTCGTATTCGGCGAATACTAATCACGAATATTTAAAAACGAATATTTTTGTACGCAACTCTAATTACTGGCGGACTTAGATAAAGCGCGTCGTCGTCGCGTAAAAAATACGACGTGTGTTTTGGCCCTTAGCCTCAACGACGGGGGACTCCCAAAAATATTTTTTACTGAAACTATGTATAGTCGCCTCGGAAAGACTTTATTCAACGGCTGGGAACATCCAGACTAAAAAAAGAGATCGCCTAAAACCAGGAAATCTACAAATTTTATGTCTTTTAAATAAAAAATTGCCCATTGTAAATTTTAATTATTAGAACAATAGAAAATCATTAAATAAATTCTTTTTTTTTACCATGGCGAGATATTCGTATTCGTATTCGTAAAAGTAGTATTCGTTGCATCACTACTTTAACTTTCTTTCTTCCATAAATCTTATTTCACCTCCAAAGTAGTGTTCGTTGCTTACATATAAGTTGATTGGTAGGAGAAGGTGTTAAGTCCGCATTCGTACTTTTTTGTTCTATTCTAAGTTTAAATAAATAAAAATAAATGTGACATAAGGATGCTGTATGGAGTTAATCAGTATAGGTCATTTTAATATGTAGCTTAATGCCATAGTCTATATTCCACGTGACAAATTCAGTAAAAGTACATTAATAACCTCTCATGTTCCTATCGATGACCTTGAAACTGTATTGCACGTGAAAACTTGTTTATGAGTTTATGTGTTATTTCTTGATGTCCAGATTCCCAGCAGTGAACGTGTGGGACAGAGAGGTGATCACCAAGACGCACACGGCCGTCCAGTACAGCTTCCGGTGCCAGCTCGAGTATCAGTTGCATATGATACAGGTGTGATTTATATAAATGTGCATGATATAATATGTATCTTTATGTAGGTATATATTCGTTGGTATAACAACGGAGCAAATACAAAGAGGTGTTGTAATTAGATTTCACTATGTAACAACGCGTGACAATTTGCTGGGTGAGGAGGTGTTATACCCTACCCACTTAACTGTTTTCCTATAAATAGTAAAACTACTCGCATATTTCGATGTGGCAATGTAGTTTAACTGCTTTGACGATAAATGGCGGCCTGTTCACAAAATGATTATAAAAACTATAAAAATGATATTATGCAATTGAATGCAAAACAAATTTCAGCATCTTCGTATGATTATTTTACCAATACTGAGCTCTACGTACTTTTATATTTTTAGTTTACATGACACAAAGTGTCGCCATCTAGTGTCGAGTATATTTAATTATATTTGAAAGCCGACGGAAAGAGATTTTTCTAGAACTATTTTAATAAATTAGGTGTAAAATTATTTACAAATGAAATGTGATGCCATCCATAACATCAGAGCGTCTAACTGAGTAGTTTTTACACAATAAAACACAACACTTCATCCTTTTCTTCTTAATACTACGAAAATACACCGATTTGCGATTTTTTCAACACATAAGCGCACAGGACGAATGCTGACAGTATACTAAAGCCACGCCCACTATGATGACGTATAGATATGATTAGAATAGTTTTTACACGATAAAACAACACTTCATCCTTTTCTTTTTAATACTACGAAATTACACCGATTTACCATTTTCGACACATAAGCGCTTAGGATGAATGCTGACAGTATATTAACGCCCACTGTGATGATGGCAGGACTTAGTTAGAATCATAGTGCACAGTTGCTTAGGAGGACTCTTCTTTGTATTTGCTCTGTGATTACATCTCTTAGTGATAGTAAAATTTTTGAATGATTTGACCAATTAAGGTCATATTAACTCTATATATTTGTTTCGACCAGACGACGGTTCATAGCTATGCTAGTGGGGCTTCAAGTTAAGTTTTAACAAATTCTATATTTATGGACCAAAATAGATGATGATATTATGGTCGAGTTATTTATAAGTTTTGTATTTACTCTATATAAAGTCCGCAGTGAATTGCTTAAAATAAAAAAAAATCAGACCCAATTTGATTGCTCCATTGGAGAGAGCTCACTTGTTACCCTTATTTTATAAGAAAAAACCGCTTGTGTGTGTGTGTGTGTGTGTGTACTTATGTACGCACGTAGGAAGTTATACTTAGCGTAACAAAACAAAAATAACTATTTTAAATGTAGTTATTACTTCCCACGAAAACTTGAGAGACAGTTACCCAATGAAGTTGTCGTTTTTAGGTTTCGGTGTGTGCGTGCGCAACAACTTCATGGTGTCGTTTTTAGCTATCGGTGTGCGCGCGCATCATAAGAAATTCAATCATAATTTTTCACAACCGCCCCAAAAGAAGTATAACTTCAAAAAAAAAACAAGGTAACGTTTCGCGTTGTCCGTTGGCAGTGCCTAGTGAGCATGTGGTCGGAAGCCCTGGAGACGTGCAGCCCGGAGCAGCTGCTGCGGGCGGCCGGCGCGCTGCCCGACGCGGCGGCGCAGGAGCGCGCCTTGGACGCGCTCACCGCGCTGCTGCGCGCCAACGAGCTCGACGAGAACTGCGCACTCGAAGGTAACCTATTTTAACACGTTTTTTGACGCAAATACGTTTTTAAGTTTGATTTCATATTGGGAGGTAATAAGTCCTAATAATCTTCCGCTCACCAGATGTCGCTAGTTGACACTGAGGTGAAGTTTTTTGTTACACAGTGTTATTTAATTGAAAAGTTAGTTTTAAATAGATATCTCCACTTTGCCGTTTATTTCGTACAACAACAATGCTATCCCATACTCTCCACATGTTAAGAATCTCGGTCTGTACGTTGATAGCTGTCTTTCATGGAACAAGCAGGTAAACCGCAAAGTAACTGCAACATTACGATTTCTTTATCACCTTAAAATTTTTCTTCCTACCGCTGCAAAAGTTTTGCTTGTTCTGTCTCTCTTATTCTGCCCATAATAGACTATGTAGATGTGGGGCACAGACTTATCTCAACAGCATCTTAACACATAGAGTCGTCTCAGCAACAACTGCATCAGATACATTAATGGTCTTCGTAAACATGACCACGTATCATCTTTTCGTACTGAGCTTAACTGGCTGCCTCGACGGTCTAGTGGTTGTAGTAGTGCGACTGCTGATCATGAGGTCGCGGGTTCCAATTCCGAGTCGGGCCAAAAAATCAGTTATTGAGTTTTTCTATCAAGAAATTCTCAGTAGCTACTCGGAGTCAAGAAGTTGGCGGTGTCTCACCCCCGTGACTCGGAAAGCACGTTAAGCCCTTGGTCCTGCGCCTGATCTCTCTCCGGTCGTGTCGGTTTACCGTCCCATAGGACTATGAGAGTGAGGCAATACAGAGTGCACCTGTGCTTGCGCATACACTTGGGCAGTATAATCCTGTCCTGCGCCGATGGCTAGTCTTCGTTGGAGCTGGCCGCCGTGACCGAAATTCGGTCTGGAGGACATTATTATTATTATCATTTTTATTAACTGGCTGCCTATAAGTTAGCACAGATATTTTAGAATAATCTGTACTCTTTTCACTATCTTGAACGATCCTTGTGCTCCTGAGCACTTGAAATCTAAATTTCAATATCTAGGAGACTAATAATTGTTTTCTCCGTTCTTCGGATGATCTAAAGTTGCTAACGCCTTTGCACCGTACTGGTAATATGTCCTACTCTTTCGTACGTACGGCTATAAGACTGGAACGAAATACCTCTTGACATTAAAAAAGCTTCCAACAAGTTTCTTTAAAAAAAAAGTCCCGTAAACATTTTAGTAAAGCATTGCAAGTGTGAATTAACACTTTTTCCTAAAGAATTATTCTATTTCTATCGTCTGGTATATTCGAACTTCGTTACCTTTTCTTACTTTTGCTGCACTACCTCCCATATGTTTATCTCTGCTTAGCTAATGGTTGATTAGGAGAGAATGCCTTAAGTCATTAAGTCCGCCATATGTGCGATAGAGTATTATAATAATACACAAAACAATACCTCTGTGTTTTGCTCTCATAGATTTAGTATATACTTACGTTAGATTGGCAATGTAAAAGAGAAAGGGCATAGCATATACTTACGTTAGATCGAGATATAATGGCTAGACCATACACGTACACGATATAGGCCTATATCGGGCTGACGTCAATCGTTAACTAAACAAATGTTATTTTCGTTATATCTTTAATTTTGAAGTAGTAATAAGTGTTTAAAAGGTGTGATTAAATATGGTGACGTGTACAGTACCTGAATGCAGTTCATCGTGAAACGAAAATCCACAAAATTATACATTTGACACGTAAGTACAATTAAAATATTTAGCACAAACTAAATGCAATATTTTAGAACTGGTACAAATGTTGTATACACAAAAATATATAGAGGAAAATACCGCATTTTATTACGATAATGCTCTAAATGCGTAAGAATATTATATATTTATATATAGAATTCCCGCTATATCTGATCTAATTTTTATAGACATGGACACTATAGTCTTTGCCTTATAGCATGGTGTGGGTGACAACTCACGCCTATGATGTTTCGTATTTTTTTTAGATAAATTGTCAGATATTGTTGTACTTCATGGATGGGTACCGCCCACTTACAACAATGATGTGTCAAGCAAAACTATGCCATGCCATAACAAACAACCACAGACTATCAAAAATCGGTTTTGAAATAAGGCGAATACATAAAAATCACGTAAATATGTATTGAAATTGGAACTAATCGTTCAACAAATTCTGATTTACGGAAAAGCTCAGGCAAAAAAAAAAATATAAAGGAAATTACACATGTGTCAAAAATACTATCATAACTCATGACGGCCAAAATGGCTGCAAAAAACCTATTTTATATTTTTATTTCATTAGATTTATAAACCAAATTCTCGATTCCTTTTACCTTCCGTTCCGATATTTGTCCCAATGGACCAGGAAAAACTAATACACATATAGCAAAAGGCGCTAGCACTTGTACATTGAAAAGCTGGCGGTGCAGTCTACGCCGTACTGAAAATTACTAATAGATGCTGGCAGCCATTTTATTTGTTTAAAATGTCAATATGAATCTTGCAATCAACATGAAAGATGATTTTTACTATCAAATTAATACATAGTATAATCTATACATTGAAGTTTCTGCTTGTAATATCAAAATAACAGCCTTTTACTAAATACATATGAAAGTATATACGGTATAAATAACAAAAAGACAAAAACAATTTTTAAAATGTTTGTTTTACTATCTGTTTGCTCCGGCTTATAGCTGGCATTGACAGATAGCTGATGTTATAAGGAGTATGACAAGCTTATTTTGTTTTAGAAAAAAAAAAATCCGCGCAAAAAAATTAAAACCCATGAAATCCAATCGTAATAAATACCAAGCGGGCGAGGTCCGGGAACAGCTATTATGTAACTATTATGCCATAATTAGTATTAAACTTTAACTTAATTTTACATGCATTGTAGTTTATAAAGAAATATGTTTCGGTTTTAAGTTTTATATCGATAGCTTATCGATAATTTTTGCTTTGCATTGTGTATGCTTAATCGCCTTTTTTAAATCGATTTAACAATGTTCTATCTCTATCACGTCAAAAATGTAAAGGCTCCAGTAGTTGGTCGAGCGCGCTTGGCGAGCCCGCTCGGCAGATTATTATGGTGCCGTTCACACGTTGGCGTGCTTCATTCTACGTTGGTAGCTAGATGATGATAGACGTTAGTGACCGCGACCTTATTTTTATGTTGCTCATGTTTGGGGTTCCATATAACTGATTCATTGTGATAAGAATCAATGAACCTAAATATTTCCTCATTAGGCCATGTCGCCATTTTCGTGAAATAATTTTACTAAGCCGTAAAGCGTAACTATGAACTGAACACTCGGCCAACGTGTGATCGCTATTTGCGGCTTGCGTCAAATTTCTTTGATTTGTGCACGGAAAACCGAGTTAAGGGAGAGTACATTGAAAAGTAAAAATAGTTTATTTCATTATCCTTCCCAGTCATTCCGCGAACTTTTTGACCTCCCCTCGTAGCTCAGAACCGGATGACAGTATGAAAAAAATATCATGCGTTTTAAAACGTAATTTTCTTTACCTCATAAATAGAAAATAGATTTTTAACAGATTCAAAGAAGGCGGCTTACGATTAGACTACGCGAATTGTGTACCGATTTTGATGATCCTTTTTTTATTAAATAGGTTATATCCTATATAAAATTGGAGAAAAGATTTCGCTCCCAAAAGTGGCAAATTAATGACGTTTTTAATGTTATAAATAATTACAACAGTATTGAGATTGTGTTATTTATTAATCCACTCAAAAGCGTAAAAAAATTGCACATATTATAATGGTCCAAATTATAATAATTATATATATATGGGACCATCATGAAGTATAACTTATTAAATTGGTTCATGCTAGATTCAGATTAACACTTTTTCGTTCATGGTTTTTATGTAAATAAATCATCATCATCATCATCATTACAACCTTTCACAAGTCCACTGCTGAACATAGTCCTGAGCCACATGTATCCATCGACTGCCTGCATGTGTTACCAGGTTGTCCATATCATTTAGTTGGGGGTCACCCCTACTCTTCGCCTACCGGTACGAGCCTGCCACTCGAGAACTTTTTTTTGCCCATCGGTTGTCGGTTCTTGGAGCTATATGGCCGGCCTATTGCCACTTCAGCTCACTAATCCGTTGCGCTATGTCGGTCACTTTGGTTCTACTTCGGATATCCTCATCCCTAAGTTTATCACGTAAAGAAACCCCAAGCATAGCCCTATCCATAGTTCACTGAGTGACCTTGAGTGTTTTATACTTGAGTGCTTTATACGCCCAGCAGTGAAGGACCACGTCTCAGATCCATAAGTCATCACTGGCAACACGCACTGGTTCTGGAGTTTGATTTTGAGGTATACCTGACGAGAAGATGTGTCGTAATTTCCCGAACACTGCCCAGGCGAGTTGAATCCATCGATGTACCTCTCGGTCGAAGTTGGACTTACCTAGTCGGACTATTGTCCAACAACTATCGGCATAGGTGTGACATGGATATTAGACATGATCTTTGTTTTGTCCATGTTCATGTTAAGACCTATCCGTTGGGAGACACCATTGAGGTCATTGAGCATAGTGCTTAGATCCTCCAGCGATTCTGTCACCCTGTTTTACACCTTTCTGCAGTTGGATAGGTTTCGTACTCTGGTTCTGTGCTCGGATAGTCATCGTAACACAACTGTACAAACACTTCAGCATTTCGATATATCGATAGTCAACTTGGCACCACTGGAGGGACTGTAGCATCGCCCAAATTTCGACGGAATCTAAGGCTTTCTCATAGTTCATATACGCTAGGTAAAGTGGCAGATTGTACTCTTCAGTACAATTTGTCGAAGGGTATGTATGTGGTATGGCCTACGATACTAAAGCCTTTTCGGAAACCGGCTTGTTTGGGAGGCTGGAATTCGTCGATTCTGTGCGCGAGACAATTCGTAATGACTTTTGAAAACAGCACGTAGACGCGGTTCAGAAGGGAAATCGGTCTGTAGTTCTTCAAGAGAGCGTTCTTGAAGAACAGGATCACAGCACTTCTGCTCCACGCCTCCGGAGTAGTCCCACCATGGAGAACGGAATTAATTGCAAATAAATATTATTTCAAAAATGTCTGTTTTGCTCACCCTACTTAACTAATTTGAATTAACGGCTATGACGTCACAATATGGCGTCAGTCTTGTTATTTGAATCGCTTAGTATTCACTGTGTGTGTGTGGTGTAGGTGTGGAGCGGTGCTGGTCGTATCTGGCGGCGATGTGGTCCGCGCTGGGCATGAGCGCGGGTGGCGTTGCGCGCGAGCCCGTGCTACGAGCTTGTGCCGCGCTCGACGCACTGGCGCGGGCGCTGCACGCCGACGCGACCGCGCTATCGCACGTGCTGCAGGTGAGCGAGACGGACAGAGAGAGAGAGGGAGAGAGCATGAGCGCGGGCGGCGCCGCGCTCTCGCACGTGCTTCAGGTGAGCGAGAAGGACAGAGAGAGAAAGAGAGAGAGAGAGGGAGAGAGCATGAGCGCGTGCGGCGCCGCGCTCTCGCACGTGCTTCAGGTGAGCGAGACGGACAGAGAGAGAGAGGGAGAGAGCATGAGCGCGGGCGGCGCCGCGCTCTCGCACGTGCTGCAGGTGAGCGAGACGGACAGAGAGAGGGAGAGAGCATTAGCGCGGGCGGCGCCGCGCTCTCGCACGTGCTGCAGGTGAGCGAGACGAGCGGGAGATAGAGAGCGAGAGAGAGATAGGAAAATAAGAAAGATGGAGAAAGAAATCTAAAGAAGGAAGAGTAAAAAATACGTATGCAAGTGAAAAGATTGACGCTAGAGGAGGAAGGTAATAGGAAAGAAATAAAGAGAATTTAAAGAAATTTGAATATACATATGAAATAAAGAGGAAAAAAAGTAAAAGTAAGATGAAAGAAAGAAAAACGAATGATAATGAAATGAAATAAAGTGAAAAGAATGATAACGATATGAAAGAAAGACGGAAAAAAAGCGGAAGATAAAGAATGAGGAAAGAAATAGAAACGAGAAAAAAATTCGTAAGGGTAAGGAAAATAAAATATAGAGGCAGAAAATAATAATGAAACAGAAGACAGAAAGGAAAAAGAAAAACTAAATAATTAGAAAAAATTGACGTATGAAATAAAGAAAAAGGCATAAGAAAAAGAAAAGAATGATCATGAGTTACTGTAAAGCACTCGAAACGTCGGGAATTAAAATAAGTAAATTAAACGCGATAAAATCCGTAAAAATAGATTTTTTCAATAGCTTAATAATGCTTATTTTTTCTCAGGCGTCGGACAAGCAGCACGTGTTGGGACAGCTTCACGACCTAATCATGAACAGCAGTACAGCTCTGCAGCAGCAGTTGAAGAGTGTCCGACGTCGTCTGCCCCCTGGTGTTCACCTGGACAAATTGCCTCTGGATTTGCAGGTGAGTTTGAGTTGACATAAACGCATTTGAGCCGTCTGGTGCTAATGAAAGATTCGTTATTTTATTGTGAAACAATGGTTCACTGTGTGGTAAGCAAGATTACAATGTTTCATTTTTATTTGTTTTCTTTGGCTTTGAGACAAGTTAAACAGATAGAGTTGATACCATCATTAATAATCTCGTATTATATACAGGGCTATTTTTCAAATTGTAGCCCACTTTTAAACTTAAGATCAAATATATACATAATGATATACCGTTATTGCATTTTTAGAAGATACGAGTAAATAAGGCTCTTCCTTTTATTTGTCCCAAATTGAATGTAATTTATAGGCAACAAAGTTTTTGCTTATTGATCGATCCCTACGAATGTGTGCGTGTGCAGTAAAATCAGTCGAAATAATGCATCACCATGTATTTTGAATTTAAACGATATAACAAGTGGTAAAATGAAAAATTTTGTACAACCGACTTTAATTTAAAATATTAAGGATATTTCAAAACTCTTGGTTAGAACTTAATCAAATTTATATGGGACCACATGAGAAGAATTTTTTTTCTTTAAAAAGAAAAAGAATCATCGAAATTTGTTTAAATAGAAATAAGTTATGAAGTAAAACACACATAAAAAAAGAAACATACGGTCGAATTGAGTATCTCCTCCTTTTTGAAGTCGGTAGAAAAAAAGGACAGAATGTTTGAAATGTTTTTTATTAATTTATTTTCACCATTTGTCTGTATTATCTTTTCTGAATCTTCTCTGCAAATTTGGCTGGTTATTGCATAATAACCTTGCACATATTAGATGAAGTAATTTATCAATGATAAGATATGATCATATGATTGAAATTCAGTAATAATTGCTGTCTAAGTTATTTGATTATTCATATTTGCACACCTTTAAAATAGAATATGGAGCGATTAATTACATTCAACATTATTGTATTACTTTATTCTTGCAAATGAAAATTATTATTAGTACTATATATTGAGCGTGTATTAGTGATACTTCACTGGGTCTAGAGCCGCGTATCGATTACTCATTCCAGGCGCATGCACCATGAATGATCGCGCCGACCAGTGCGTTTCACGGAACGCGTTCCTAATGTTCCAAGTGTATCAACTAAGCGGCAACTGTTCCAGTGTTTAACCGTTCAACATAGATGTCGGTCGTGTACGACCAGCTGCCGTTTTCATAGTTCCATGCATTTTCTCCCAGCGCTTTATTATGATATTACGACTTTTGCTATTCCAGAGCAATTATTTTGAACCATATAATTTTATCAATTTACGGCAACTCCGGTTATCTATAGCCCGAAATCCAACGAACATACGAATGATGAAAACAACCGTACCAACTGGCGCGTGTGCCAAATTTAAAATACTTTGATACGCGGTAAAAAACCGCCATGAGATGGAACGGCTCGCTTCACGTTTGAGCGTTCCAACGAACTATTTGGCGCGCGTTCCAAAGCGGTATCCATTTCGCGCGGCTGGAACGCGCGCCAATGTTCAACCTCTCGGAGCGCTTAATCGATACGCGGCTTGACACGACAATTGTCCGCAGTTGGTAGAGCGGCTACGCAGTGACTGTGCCACGACGCTGTGGCGTTGTTGCAAGGCGGTGGCGCTGGCAGCTCGAGCCGCGGCCGCGTGCGCCGCCACGGCGGGCGAGCGCGGCGACGGCGCGGCGCTGCCCGCCGACACGCTGGCCGCCGTCTGGGAGGCCGCCACCGACAAGGTCTACCAGCAGGTCAGCGCACCACTAGCAGCTCTTGCCAACTTAACATCCTCTGTTCCATGTACCATTCACATTTTGTACAATACATTTGCCGTTCCATGTACCCTAAATATTTCCATCCATCATTCCATTTAAATAAAACTAGTTTTTACGAATTTTATCGCGTATAATATTGACTTATTTTATATTCTCGACTTTTCGAGCGCTTTACAGCGTTAATATAAGCAATAAAATATGTAAAAACTAGTTTTACTTAAATGTGTAGTACTCGCGTAAATATTGGAAATCATTATGACGTCCAACACTTGTTCTATGTACCCCACATATTTCTCATACAATATTATTTGTCTCATATACCCTACATAGGCTGCACTAAAAGTATCGGGAATGGAATATTTCCACTGTTCCTGTCATATTAAAATCTTTTTAATTGAAAACTCCTTGCTTTTAAAAATCGAATACCATTTACTTATTTAAAAAAAGATTCTCGGTCTTGTTACAAGGTTTTGTCAAACTTGTTTAGTCGTTGAGAAAATGGAATTGACTCGAGAAAATTCAAAAGCGATGATTTATTATGACTTTCGAAGTGGTTTAACACAAAAACAGTGTGTTAACCGGATGATTTCTGCATTTGGTGATGAAGCCCCATCCAAAACCACAATTTATCGCTGCTTTGCTGAATTTCAACTTGGACGTGTCAAGCTCAGTGATGATCCCCGTCATGGTCGTCCAAAAACTGCAGTCACCCAAGAAAACGTTGTTGCTGTGCGTAAGCTGATTGAGGAAGATCGACATGTGACATACCGCGAAATTCAGGCAACTTTAGACATTGGCATGAGTCAAATACAAATAATCTTGCATGAACAATTAGGTGTAAAAAAGTTGTTTTCCCGATGGATACCGCATTCGCTCTGTGAAGAGCAAAAAGCGGCTCGCGTTACTTAGTGCGTCAGAACTCTCGAAAGATTCCACGCAGGATCCTCAAATGCTGTATACAATATTGTATCAGGTGATGAATCCTGGATATACACGTACGAACCCGAAACAAAAAACCAGTCCCGAGTTTGGGTGTTCGAAAATGCGTTAAAGCCAACAAAAATTGTTCGTTCACGGAGTGTTGCAAAAAAAATGGTGGCCACGTTTGTCTCCATAACCGGCCATGTTACGACTATTCCTCTTGAGGGACAAAGAACGGTTAATGCAGAATGGTATGCTAGCATTTGTTTTTCACAGGTCGTTTCTGAACTCCGTAAAGAGAACTGCAACCGCCGCATCATCCTCCATCACGACAATGCGAGTTCTCACACCGCACACAGAACAAAAGAGTTTTTAGAGCAAGAAAACATAGAATTATTAGACCATCCGCCGTACAGCCCCGACCTAAGCCCTAATGATTTCTATACTTTCCCTAAAATAAAGAATAAATTGCGTGGACAGAGATTTTCATCACCTGAAGAACGAAGAGACCCCAACTTCCGAATGGAATGGTTGCTTCAATGATTGATTCCATCGTATGGAAAAATGTGTCAAATTTCGCAGAGAATACTTCGAAAAGCAATAAATACATTTTTAAATAGTAATGTTGTGTCACTTCCTTGATTCCCGAAATTTTCAGTGCCGCCCTCGTACATCATCATCCATCCGCTATTCCAAATAAACCAATCAAATCATTCATAGAAAGCCCCTGTTCCAAGTACGCTCCATAATATTATTAACACAACACATTTCTTGTTCCAGATACCCTACATATTTTTCATACAACCCATTCCCTATTACATGTACTCCAATGTTTCTGATACAACACATATTCTGTTACAGTTGCCCCACATGTTTTTCATACAATGCCTGCACTGTTCCAGATACAATCTTTCATACAACTTATTCTGTTTCGTATACCCGACGATCCCACATGTCTCATACAAAAAATTCCCTGTACCAAATACCCCACATATTTCTCATACAAAACATCTTCTGTTCTGTCTAAACAACCCAAATGTTTCTCATACAACCCATCTTCTATTCTATGTACCCCACATATTTCTCCCACAACATATTCCCTATTCCAGGTATCCCATATATTTCTCATACGCTGCTGTGCTACGTTTCCCCATTGTATAAATTTATGTGGTCAGTAAAGAGATCAGGAGACCCTTTCCATTGGTAATAAGCTAATAAGGCATTCCACCTTTGACCTCAGTGGTGATAACGCATCTACATTTTGATTCTCAATCGAGGTAGTACACAGGCACACAAACATAAGTTCGAATGTTTGCACGTATGATGATTGATGATGATTGTATCACTATTTTATAAAATTAAATTGTAACTGAGGAAGAAAAATAGTCTCCTAATAATCAAATTTTAGTTTCTTGCAGTTTATTCTAACAAGGTGAAGCGATGACGTAAGCTGTAAGCTTTGAAAGCAGCTGTAACGACTAATTTTGAATAAAAATATTTTTGGCTTGACTTTGACGTTGACTTTGATTAGTTATATCTCATTATATCTCTTACGTATCCATTCCAGGACGACCACGGCCCCGTACCGACTATACGGCATGCACTCAACCTAGTTTCAGCGGACGTGAACAAGTTGGCCGCGTTCGCGCAAGAGAACGAGTACGACATGATGTCTCTCACCAACGTGCAAGTGGATAAGGTGAGTGGACTTCAATCTTTCTTTCTTTTCTTTCTTTCTTTACAGCCTAACTAAGTCCACTGTTGAACATAGTCCTTCCCATAGATTGTCTTATAATGTTGAGGAGAGTAAGGATATTCTCCATAGTTGCTACGCTTGGCAAGCAGGTTGGCAATAGTTTTTTATTTTCTATTTGTTATTAGAGAGACGCCGCTGCTCATCCCCTGATATGTTTCCCTTTTTCGATACCCACAGAACAATATAGGGTAGTAGATATTCGTACGTTTAATGATGCCTCTATATAGCAAAATAAAGTTTAGAAAAGAACAATCCCGAAAATGTTTCAAAGTTTTTTTTTTTTTTTTTTTTTTTATAGAATAGGGGGCAAACGAGCATGCGGCTCACCTGATGTTAAGTGACTACCGCCGCCCATGAACAACCGCAACACCAGGGGAATTGCAGATGCGTTGCCGGCCTTTTAGAAAGGTGTAAGCTCTTTTCTTGAAGGTTCCTAAGTCGTATCGGTTCGGAAAATTCGCTGGTGGTAATTGATTCCACAAAGAAGTTGTGCGAGGGAGAAAACTTCTTCTAAATCGCACGGTGGTGGACCGCCAATCATCCAGATGGTATGGATGGTAACGCGAGTTTTGTCGCGACGTGCGATGGTGAAATTGAGCGGCTGGAATTAGTCCGAACAATTCCTCAGAGCACTCCCCGTGATAGATGCGATAAAATATGCAAAGAGATGCAACATCTCTACGCAGTGCCAGTGTATCGAGCCGATCGGAAAGAACTCGGTCGTCGACGATTCGAATCGCTCTGCGCTGGATGCGGTCAAGTGGAAGGAGCTGGCACTGGGGTGCCCCGGCCCAGAGATGAGAACAGTATTCCATGTGGGGCCGAACTTGCGCTTTGTAAAGTTGCAAGCGATGTGCCGGCATGAAATACTGTCCCGCTCTGCTGAGCACGCTAAGCTTTTTAGAGGCCAATTTGGCCTTCCCTTCCAAGTGACCACGAAACTGCACGCTATTCGATATGTCGACGCCAAGGATTCCGATACTGGCTGAGGCAGCAAGGGGAGTGCCTTGAAACTGAGGAGATACGACAAAGGGGTTCTTTAAAATATGTTGTGGGGTAAACATGGCTTATAATTTTCTTTACATATCGAATTGATTGTAATTCGGCATAGTTATATAGTTTTCATAATACCGACGTCTGGAAGTAGAGACACCAGAAAAAATTAAGTGGAGAGAGCAAGATTTTTTTGATACTTGTATTTCTTTTTTTTTAATTTATTACTTCTCTCAAGTTTGGAATAAAATGGTCACAATAGCCAAGCTTGGTAGTATATAAGGAGGTGGACAGCATCGTCTTCCTAATAACTTAAAAATAAAAAAAAAACTGATTGCCAATCCGCTTGCAAAGCGTGGTAACTGTGGCAAATACGAGGCAATCTATGGGGTAGGCCTAAGTTCTGCAGTGGAATTTAATAGGGTTTAATGGTAATAATAACGGATTGTAATGATTTTATCTAAAATGTAAGAGATTAATTGTAACTTATATTTCTGCATCTGTTTTTGTAAACCAAACTATCATCTTCCAGCCAACACCGCCGGTGGTGCTTAGAGCGCAATTGGTGAAGAAACAGCTGGAGGAGACGAAGACGCTCACCATCAAACTAGAGAACAAAGAGGCTGACATCAAAGAGCTTAGGAAGGCGCTTAAGGTAATTTCTTAATTTAAAAATTTCTTTTTTTTTTTCAATTCTGATCGAGACGCCATTTTGTTTGTTAATATTCTATATTATAGAGGCAGATGGATTGGAGATGAACCACTCTCACAGTATATCAAAAAACTATTAGTAAATCCATTTGAGCATGCCCTAATCGCATTTATTAATTTTTTAAAAGTAATTTAAATACACACAAGATTTCACTAATAACCTTATTATACTTTCAATTTCCGATAATTTTATATCAAACTTCAATTTAAAAAAAGTTAGGAAAATCCAAAAATGCACGACTCATAATGCTCATATGATCATCACATCATCATTCATGATACTTCATAAAGTCCAAGACGTATTTAAGTGTAAATATTACATCCTACTTACTTTTAGTACGAACTACTATTATTTATTCTGTGCTTTTAAAATATTGTAAGAAAAATCTCTGATTATTATAATAATCAAGTATGTATGATATTTGTTTTTCGAATATTTTGTATTTATTTGTACAGCGATCTTTTTCAGCCGCTGCAAACAACCGATTCAGTATCCACTCACAACGGCGGGTGACGCCAAACTTACCGAGTGAGGCAGTCTCTATTTACTAAAATGAATTCACACAAGGCTGCTAAATCACCGAAAATTTTGACATTTAGCAGCCGAAAAATTAATTATAACAAAACAAAACAAAATTAAACTGCCATTTATATTCAATGGCTTCCCACATGATAGATGAAGAGTTTTAAAAATATATTGAGTTGAGCAATTGATATTTTCAAAAGTTATCGTGTTTACGAAGCCATACGGACTTGATAAATCCACAACATACACCACTAAAACCCTTTTTTATGCAAAAATAGCAATTAATCGATTTAAAAAAAATATTAATAAGTTCAACAATCATATATCTTTCTGACAATGTGCTTTTTATATCATGTATATGTATAATAGGTTATTGATTCATTTTTGTGGTTTTAGTCATTGACTTGACTTATTTAGTTAAGTATAAATTACTGCATAGTTTTCATATCAATTGTTTTAGCTGAGGTTGTAGTCATGGCTGCAGTCATGGCCACATCATAATCTCAAAAGAGACGAAATACAAGTGTAACGTGATATGATCCTCGGCTTTTAAATAATATATTTTCAATTCAGGATTTAGATTGTGCCCAGGGGGAACGGATTAATCCATACACTAGCCATGTTCGCGATATTTTATAGCCAGGTCACAGCATGTGACCGATGTACTTTCAATTCAAATTTCTAATATCAGTCTTATGCTTTAAATGTCATTTCACATCAATTTTGATTACAAACAATAACTAAATGCACATACCTGTGAAATTATGTATTGCTACTTTTCTTGTAGCGACGTTTGCAAAATACACATTTTACCCATGTTTGGATACTCGAACTTACACAAATGACCTTAAAACTCAATAAAATGTCAACAAATTGAAATAAAATGCATAAACGCTTTACGGTTGTTCAACTTACCACGACAGCTGTTTGCAATATACGTGGAAATTAGTTCTCGGGGCACTCGCGGGTGGCGTCTTAAATTGGCACACAAAATTTTCTGCCATTTGTATGATAAAGCCAGTCCAGTGTGGTAATATATACAGGTCCGTAGGCTGTAATGAATATATGAATACATACACTTGTTACATTGTTAACTCGTTCATTGGAGCCGGTTGGTGAACTTCATTACTCCAAAACCTCATCAGGGATGAGAAGTCTGTCCCGGCATTAGCTTATATGGGCGGTTACTTTACTTGTTTTCAATTTTCAGGCGAAACAAGAGGAACTATCAGAGATGCAGATCCGCAGGGAGCTGGGAGAGCGGAAACTGTTGACGGCCGCCACCGAAGCGGGACAACGCGCCGAAACGCTCCAGAGGAGACTAGACGACGCGCTTAACCAACTTAAAAAGTAACGCCTATTATAGAGAGATGATAGTTACAACCTGAAAGATTTGGCGGGTGCTTTTTAGTGGTGTCTCTTCCTATTTTGTACGTGGTAGAGTCACGCTGCAGCTATATTAAGGTTGTAGCACGTATAGGTCGGCGCCACCGGGGAAGGACCACGCTCTCACAGAATACCAGCGTAAAATAGCAGCTTAACACTGCTGTGTTTCGTATGGTGAGTGTAGGGAACCGGAAACTCATTTTACTGCAAACGAGGCATTCCATCTTAGTCCTCAAAAGTGACAGTGCAGATGCGTGCATTTTGATTATTAATCGAGGGCAATATATGGACCACAGCATCCATTTACCATCGGTGTACTGTGTGCTCGTTTATCACCCTTATAGTAGAAAAAAATATTAGTTTTTAGGCAGAAAAAATATTGTGCCCTTTTGAACGGACGAAGCAATATTCAGGCTGTAACTGTACTACTTTTATTATTTATTCATTCATCATTACTGCCTATTAAAAGTCCACCGAAGAACACAGGCCCTTAGATTGCCTCATGGGGAAGATTTTGCCATAGTTGCCACATTTTAAGGCTAAAATAGCTGCGGGTGCCGATCCACCCGCAGCTATTTTAACCGACCACAAAAAGGAGGAGGTACTCAATTCGGCTGTATGTTTTTTTATTTGTGTTACGTCATAACTTTTCTTATTTTATTTGAATGCTAGTGCTTCTCATGTGATCCCATATTATTGATCAAGTTCTGACCAGTAGTTTTTGAGTTATCCTTAATCATTTATATTGAAGTCCGTTGTACACAATTTTTAATTTTATCACTTGTCTATTCATGTTACGTAAAATATTTTCTTGTCTGCTTATGTATGTTTTTGTTTAAATGTCATTCGTTTTAATGACCGCGGTATTTTATATCCTTATAGTCCCTTTGTCAGTCATTAAACAAACTTACTCATGATTCATAAAGCGCTACAAAAGCCCTGTTCATTTATTATTATTTTCAGTTTTTACCAGGATGATGGTGCTGCTAATCTCCTCTTTCAGTTTCCCTCTGTCTCCTCTTCCGACACCTGCCGCCACTACACAACGTTACTTTACTACTTTTCTTTTATAAAATAATCTCCTTTCTCTTATGCTAGGAAAGAGAAGGAATACGAAGAGACCCTGGACCATCTGCAGCAGGACATTGAGTCGCTGGAGAGCGAGCGCGGCTCTCTGAGGAACAAGTTGAAATTGTACACGAAACGTGGCGGCACGCACCACGGTACGTACACTGTCTGTCAGTCAGTTTGTGTGTCTTTGTATTGTATTCTGTAGGAGAATGCCTTTGAACACAATACAAAACTGAGTAGCGAGCCCTGAACGAAAATCTCATATTAGACTACCCTCTTAACTAAAGCCAATATTTGTGTGATCTGCCGTGTCTATGATCAAAGTCTATCTTTTTGCTTTTTGGTTCTTAATTGAAGATCGAATTGGTATCTATGGGCAACAGCGTCCACTTACATTTAAGTGGGCTGCGTGTTCGTCTGACACATTCACTTTAAATCAAAATTATCTTTCATGAAAATACGGAACAGTTTTTCTGTATATTTTTGTAATTACAAGTACTGAAAGAGAGCACGTTAAGCCGTCCCATCGGAGAGTGAGGGAATAGAGGGTGCACCTGTGCTTGCAGATGACCGCTATTACCGAAATTCTGTCTATGAGGACATTATTAATTATTAAAAGAGATACGCGTTTAATTATGTTGATGGGGAGTTCAAAGGTAGTCTCCTAAATATATATATTTTTTAATTTTGAGTTGTTTCATATTTGGTTCGTTGTTTACGTTAAGACCTTTTTGCCATGTTAAAAGTATTTGCGTTAATCGATTATTTTTCCTTAGAATATCTAGTAATTTTAGATGGTTTTCGTTTGTATTAAGGATGTGTTTAGTGAATTGGTTTTGTTGATTTGGGTTTTCTTATTTTCCTTTATTTTACTCATATGTTTTTTTTTTGTATGCATAAGTCAAAAATAGCAATGTGGTGAGTATAAGGTTTTTGCTGTCGCTACTTATTGAAGTTAGTGTTAGCCATTACTTGAGAAATATTGGCTACTTTGCAAAAGCGTGAAGCTTTTCTTATACCACAACAACAAGGGAATATGTCGGTAAAAAATTTCTTCGTATTTTATTTGTTTAAAATTGAAGAAAAATTTCTTTGATTGTACTGTTTGTATCAGGCTGGTTTTAATATCAATACATATAGGACATTAAGAAAAAGAAAAATAAAAAGTAGAAAACGCTTTCCCGCCTTTTATCAATTGTCTTTTCTGTCCCCCAAAATGAGTGAATCGAAGAAATTTGATGCATTCTGAAGTTTCATTACAAAAAAAAAAAACGGGAAAAATGCGACTCAAGCCAGGAAAAAATTTTGTGACGTTTATGGACCTAACGCAGTGTCAGTAAGAGTAGCACAAATTTGGTTCAAGCGTTTTCAGTCCGAGAATTTTGATGTCAAAGATGCTCGCATTGGTCGCTCTCATACGGATAAAGCCGATGCCATTTTTGAAAAAGTGAAGCCAGTACGGCATATTAGTAGTTACGACATAGCCGAGAAATTGAGGGTTGACCACAAAACAGTTTTGACCCATTTGCAAAAGATTGGCTGTACAGAAAAGCTCGATATTTAGGTACGATATGAGCTTACTGCAAGAAACCTAATGAATTGTGTACTCATTTGTGATTTTCTATTGAAACGTAATGAAACCGAACATTTTTTGAAGATATTGTTCAATGGTGATGAAAAGTGGATCACCTAGGACAAGAACGTGCGAAAAAGATCATGGTCAAAAGGTAGTCAAGCTCCACAGACTGTAGCGAAACCCGGATTAACACGTGCAATAAGGTCTTGTTGTGTGTATGGTGGGATTGAAAGGGAATCATTTGTTATGAGCTTTTACCGCCGGGTAAAACGATTCGTATCACTACTTCCACCAAATAATGAGAGTCAAGCAAGAAATTGAGAAAAAACTGCTGGAATTGATCAAAAGAATAGGAGTGGTCATTCATCATGATAACACCAGACCACACATATCTTTGGTCACTCAGCAAAAATTGAAAGTGCTTGGTTGGGAAGTGTTAATGCATCCACCATGTAGTCCTGACCTTGCAGCCTCAGACTTTCACCTGTTTTGGTCTCTTCAGAATTCTTTGGGTAGTGTTAGGTTAACATAAAGAGAGGACTGTCAAAACTACTTGTCGCATTTTTTTTAAACAAAAATCACAAGATTTCTACAGCAACGGGATTATGTCACTACCTAGAAGATTATCGAACAAAATGGCACACATATATTATAACTAGCTGTTCCCCGCGACTTCGCCCGCTTATAATTTAGTATTATTATTTTGCGCAGTACCCTAATTCTATAACATGTCACATCAGTTGTCTGCCAGTGAAATTCCCATCAAAATCGGTCCAGCCGTTTCGGTGATTAGCCGGACCAAAGAGACAGACAGACATAAAATTTTTTTAAAAATTGTGTTTTTGTTTTATGTACCTTATATACTTTCATATGCATTTAGTGAAAAGCTGTTATTTTGACATTACAAACAGACACTCCAACTTTATTTATTTGTATAGATATAGATTTGTATAGATTAAATGATATTAAACTTTGAAAAAGAAATGTCTTAAATTTGTATATAAAATACGAAGAAACTTTTCCCCGACGTAATATTTCGTTATTCCGCATAACCATCGCTCGCTCGTGAGTCATCATCGTACAATTAGGTATTTGACACATTATTTTTATACTTACATATTATATCTGTTAACGGTAACGTTTGTTAGTAACGACAGCAAAAACAATTAAAAAAATAAAATGTAATAACAAATGTTGTTGTATGGGCGTAGCGGCCGTGACGCCTCCGGCTTCTCTGCGAGACTTTACACGTAAGAAAATATAATCAAATGCCTTACATAGCATGCCCCTTACCTTCCAGTAACTAAATATTAATCCTTTTACCATAACTGTAATGTTTAATTTTCATCGAATATTTTTATTTCATGCCATATAATGCTTCTTATTACTATTGAGGCAGACTTTAATTTGAGGCACAAATTGCAGAATTTTAAACCTTTTTTAATTATATATGAATGTTAAGATTTAATAAGTATCAATGCCTGAAATATTTTCATTATAAAAAGTATTTTTTTTTTTATAAAATATGCAAACATTTTATTAATATGCCGACTGTACTTCGTTAGCGGTGGTGACTTCAACGCCAGCCCCGAGAGAAACGCCGCGTAAGCTATCATTTAATCGATGTTGCATTTGTTTCATTACAGCATGGGTGTAATTTTGTGTTAGTTTTTTGTGTAATCGATTTTATTAAGCTTACGAAAGGTTAAGCTCAGAAAGCGTATGGTTTTAATTTAATGAATATCTTCATTCACCTTTTCATTTAAGATATTAAGATTTCGTTTGAGAAACGTTATTTTTTAATTGACTACTGTTTGAAAATGAGGTTCCTCCAACATTTCTTTTCGTTGTATTTATAGTCAAAATAAAATATTTTATTACATAAGTGACAAATATTGGACGTATACGGAATACGTACTGCAGTAACTGAAAAAAAATGTAAACATTTATAGTTCATGATGATTTAAGATTATCTATACATAGAAACTTTATACTTTATTAAAAAAGATATTGGGACTAACTGAAATGACAAATATAATAAAAATCTGATCGTTGGTTATGTAGCTACTAAGGAATTTATCATATTTTTAATCCTTCTTAGTTGCCTTGAGATATATCGACATCACCTGTCCGCTGCGTAAAACTGCCGTCAAAATCTCGCAATGTGATATATCAGCATATTGTGAAGAGTTTACTGAATCAAGTCAGACTAGGCTGTATGGTCTAAATCATCTGCCTGGTTTAATTGGCGAATCTTAACAGCAAACAAACGAAGTGATACATGTCATTCTAATTTCAATTGTGAAGAGGAAAGAGGTAGCATTAACACGTCTGCTAACACGGCTTTCACAGGAAGGCGGACGGACTAATTTTTTGTCATTATAATTTTAAAGAATGTGCATGTTCGTAAATAAATTATTTTCGTTGTGTTTAACCTTTATTCAAAGAATGATAACTGAATGGTATTAGGTGTGTGAAAATTTTGATGTGATGTAAATAAATAAATTATTTGTAAGTTACGAATCAGTACGCGGAAGTGGCAATGGGCTGGCCATATAGCTCGAACAATCTACAACTGATAGGGAAGAAAAGTTCTCGAGTGGCAGCCTCATACTGCTAAGCGAAGTGTACGGCGGCCCGCCATTGGATGAAGACATGCAGTAAGTCGGTGGAGCTTTAGGACTTCGATTTGTGGCATTGCTTGTGGGAGGCTTATGTTCAACAGTGAACTTAATCTGTCACCCAAAGATGGTAACATTTTTGAGTCAAAGGTAGATTTTGATTTAAGCTAATCAATGTTGACCATGGTATATATATAATTTAAGTAATCAAAGACATATCCTACGATTATTTAATTTCTAACAGTAATTGAATCTATTACCATCTAACATCTATTACATCCTATAAAAGTCCTGCTGAACATAGCCATCTCCGATAGATTGCCTCATCGGGAGAAATCTGCAATAGTTGCCACGCTTGGCAGGCGGGTTAGCGACCACTGGTTTTTATTATTTTCAGTTGTTATCATCAGAAAGATGCGGCTGCCCATCTTCTGTTCTTATTTCCCTCTGTCGCCTCTTACGACACCCACGTGACGATATGAGGTAGTGGATATTCTTACACAGTCACTACACAGTTTACTCAATTTATCGAGGGTTTAATGTACGATACAGATCAAAATAAAGATGGACTGCGTACATTTCAAGTGACGCCGAAATTAAGGTCAACTTCTTAACACGCACTCCCATACACATCTTTTTTTTTTAATAGCCCTAAATAGTCAACTGCTGGATGCATACAAAGGCAACCTAAAACCATGCAAATGATTTTAGATGCATTTGTGTGCGTGAGTGCGTGCTCTTACAATAAGTAAATAATTTGATATATACATACACAGTGCTCGGTCTATTTTTCTTTCTTGGTCTTAGTATATCGCATGAAGATCACAAAGTTTGACAATTCCAAAATTGTCTCCGTCGTGTTAAAAGATGTTGCGTTTCATCGCCATTAGGAGCATTGAACTCTCGGCGCTTTCAGAAAACTTAACACTTTAACTGTCCCGTTTTCAGACACAATATCCGGTTTAAGACAATAGCAATGACCTATATGTAGTTCATGGGATAGCGAAAGGGTTAAAATACTCTAATATTAAAATATTAGTGTGCTTTTTCCTCAGTGAACTGTGGATCATTTACGTGCTTGTTTACAAGTTATGAATTATATTTTCTAAACATGTAAGACTTCTCGTTGGTACATTGCCAAATTTAAATAAATTCGATTCTGTAATTCACTTGAATATTTTCACACATCTAATACTTATATGTTATAAAATATTCCTCAAATAGCAGTGGAACTTGGTGATAGAAGGAGAAGTTCAAATTTGATGGTATACTTAAGACCGTGTAACTCAAATGATCTTCATCTCTTATTTAGTTAAATGAGAGTCTAATCTTCCCTAGTCCGGCAACACATACCTCTTCAGAGTTCACACGAAACTAAGCTTTGCACTTCAATAGTTATGATCAAACTCATTCTTCCTAACAATTTATTATTATTAGCGCAAACTTGACAAGCTGTCCTGCTTCGTGTCTTCTTCTATCGCCAGTCTCTTTCTCTACTTTATAGTCATGCTTTATCTCATAGTTCATGCATAAACATGACTGCTTCTAAGAGTTTTAATTTAATTATTTATAAATATTTCAATGGACAGTACACATAAAATGTGTGTTTTTTTAATGATAATTACTGTTTAAGTGTAGTGTTGAAAAGCCTTGTTTTCTATGTTGTTGAAAAAAAAGCATACTTTCACCTTATATTAGTTTATTTGTTATTATTGTACAGTGTCCTAATACAGAAATATACATATTATTATCTTATTAAATTGTTAACTCTCAAATTAAATAGGTTATAGGTTTATAGGTTATAGTTTATAGGTTGGTTATGGTAACATTGTTTGGCGTTACGTCTTTCAGAGGAGACTCCAGTGAAGGTAGCAGAAGGTGTTGCTGCTGGAGAAGTCAACGAGGCCTTGCAGCATCAGATCAAAGTGCTGAGTTGGTGAGTAATGCACACCTTTTTAAACGACTTCAAAAAGGAGTATAGGGACAACCCTCCACCTCCCATGGCCCCACCAACCTCACGGTTATACGGGCCGAATCTCGAGAGATGCACGCGGTACCTGCTCTGGGCTCTTTCCCGCGTGTACTTTCTTGACTCTCTACAAGTTATTTAATCTGATCCTTGTCCCGTAGTGTCACTCTCCCTTTCTGGGCTGGACGTACACATCACGGCTTCGGTTCCGGGCTGGTCTTCGGCTACTTTTCCGTTTCTTCCTTCCATTGCCGTCCTTCTTGCGTGCCATCCATGCGCAAACTCGCGCAGCCGGCCAAAGTTCACCCCACCCTCCACAAGTTCCGGGTAGAACACGGGACCTTCCCTTTCGCGTACAATTCCATCCATCATCTTACATCGCAGGTCATCATACAACTTACACTCCCACAGGACATGGTGCCTATCCTCATAGGCCTCACCACACTCACACATACCCGATTCAGCCAATTTCATATCGTACAGTCTCTTTCTGAAACATCCATGCCCACTGAGCATCTGCGAGACTTGATAGTCCGGCACGACCCAATTAGCATTGAGTCGCACCGCCACGTCCGGGAAAAAGCGGAATAATTCTCTGCCATTCGTCTCATTCGTCCACCGTTCCTGCCATGCATTCACAACTTCAACCCAAATTTCGCGCTTGCGCCTACTCAACTCCCCGTTATCTGCATTCCTACGCATCCGACAAGTCCTACCCGCACGTATGACCTCCAGGTCAGCCGGTAGGACGCCGGCTAACACCGGAAGTGCCGCAGTACTTGTCGTCCTGTAGCCCTTTGTCAGCAACACGAGTGAAGATCTCTGCGCTCTAAGCAGTGCCGTGCGCACTGTATAATTCCCCACCCGATCAACCCAAACGGACGCAGCGTAAGTCACTACTGGGACATATGTTCCCTTATATAGAACACGAAGGGCCGGGTAGCGCACGCCCCAAGAAGAAGCCGACACCCGCGACATCTTCTTTGTCATGTCATCATCATGTCCTTGGCATGCTGAATGAAAAATAGACTATTGTCTATCGTGACACCTAATACCTTAGCCGACATTACGCTTTTTATCGACTCCAGCCCCATCCTGATAACAGGTGGTCGCTGGAACTTGCCTTTGATGGTCATGGTACATGACTTCGCGGAGGAGAAGGACAACCGGTTTCTCTCACCCCACGACGATACCAGCTCCAGTGCAGATTTGGCCGCTCTCTCTATTTCTGCTCTAGAGTTCGCCTCTATCAGAAGTGTCACATCATCTGCGTACGCCAGCATTTTCGTACCAAGAGGAAATGGCAGCCTCAACAAATCATCCAGCAGTAAATTCCACAAGGTCGGTCCAAGGACCGATCCCTGGGGGCAGCCCATGGTCGAGCGTTTCCACTCAACACACTCACCCACGAATATGCCCACTCGCCTGTTGATGAAATAATTCACCAACATACGGTAGACATTAGGTGGAATCCCCCCTTGCTTGGTCTTCAGCAGTATCATCGGCCACCACGCATTATCAAATGCTCCCGATATATCTAAAAAGACGGCCTGTACATACTTGCGCTGCGACTCGCGCGCAGTACTAAGCACGTCTTGCAGCGCCGTTTCTGTGGACCGACCTGGAGAAAATCCGTGCTGGTATACCGATATACCCCTCACCAAGCTCGGGGCACATCGTAGCAGTACACGCTCCAGCAGCTTCCCAAAGATGGGGAGGAGCGTTATCGGGCGGTACGCTTTGGGATCCGTCAGAGGCCTGTCATTACCTTTCGGAATAACTATCAGCCGTCCATTCTTCCATACTTCGGGGAAAGCCCCCTCTTCCACGCATTTGGCATACACCCAGTGGAATTCCCTGGGTGCAGCCTTCCATACGTTCTTAACAACTTTTGCGCTAATTCCGTCCAATCCCGGAGCAGTGTTGGGCAAAGCCCTAACTATGCCCTCCAGACACTCAATGGTAGGGGGAGCGGCGACCGGCCCAGATGGCGCGAGAGCGGCCATCAGGCGTACCCGCCCGTGGTATTCTGTGTCCTTTGACAGATCGTCGTCCGGACACAGCGCCCCGAGCAGATCCCGCATGGCCTCTCTCACACTCCCCGAGTGGCCCTCCGCAAATTTAACCGCATTTATAACGTTGCTTGGAGAACGGTACCTCCCACTCGCCACTTGGTAAGCACGCCCCCACGGTTCAGTGTTACCGGTATTGGCAATTTTCCGAAAATGGGCCAGCTCCGCGTCTCCCATCATCTGTCGGTATCCCGCTCTCACACTATGGAATCGTTCCACAGCTAATTTCTCAGACCTGCCTCCCTTTTTTCTGGTCTTCTGCCACTCCCTTCTCGCATTACACACTTTCTTCCTCATCCTGTCTAGTTCAGGCGTCCACCATTCATAGCCACCGTCCCGACCCGAGCGCGCACTCCCCAGCACGTCCTCCGCAGATCGAACGACGATCTCCGTGAACTGCGCGCAGAGTCGGTCAGCCGGCTGTTGAACTTCCAGATTACCCATTCTTACGTGTATTGTACCGCGAAAATAGCGCCAGTCAACCCCCCGGTCTCGAAAACGGGCAGGCACCTCCACCGACCCCGCGAGCTCCGCACGGCGCTCCCTCTCAATTTTAAATATAATTAAGCGATGATCGCTTATGCTGGCGCAATCCAATACTCGCCACCCTGATACTAAGACACCTCTAGTTGCGAGGGTTAAATCGATATTGGATTCACCCATGGCTCCAGCGAACGTTGATGGTTGTCCATCAACGTTGGCCAGGGTGAGCCCCCGCGACATAATGAAATCCTCCATCATTCTTCGTCTATGGTCCGCTTCGTGTCAAAAAGGAGTAGGTTTTCAATTCGAGTTTATGTTTTTTATGTATTATGAGGAATCGTCGCAGATTGTGAACGGATTTTAATGATTAAAAAAAATCCGCCACCAAGGGTGTAAAATAGGGGAAACAGTTTCATATTGGACTATTGTTAAAGAAATTTCACATGACCTTCGCAGATTAAAAACCGAATTTAATGATTCTTTTTTATTAATTCAGGTTTTAGCAATTTGAAGTCGGTTTTTACTTTTTGTTAAAAGTTATCGGTCTTAATCTAAAGAGTAACAATGTTTTCCATTGTATCCTTTTCTTCTTTTTATTAGCACTTAAAAGTCCATTATTTACAAAATTTACGCAATGGAAACGGGCGATGGATTCTTTTACTCCGTCAAAACACGATATCCTACTTGTTTTTACCAAAGACTTATATAACTACTCATAGAGCAACACGAGCCACCGGCGAACCGCAGTTGAGTAGCCATAGCGTTTTTCCCCGGTACAAAACTGTCTGTCGTTTTTTGCGTGCGAAACTCTGCGCACAATAAAATAAAAGTCTGTCACTACGAAACTCACATATAACAATTAAAACAATAAACTAACAATTTCAATTTACTAGTAACAGAATCGCTCGGTAACAGTGAACACTCGGATGTAGACTCGGAATCATAGCCATGTGTAAACAAATCCGAAACAACACGACCGTTATTATTGTAATGTTTAAGTTTAAAAAGAAGTAAATAGCAATGATGTGATTAAAAATATATATGATATATGAAAGTTAGCGCCATCTGTTTGTAAATTTGACGTGGCAGATCTCTTTTTGCACCGAAAAATTAAACAATTCAGCATTATCGTAGATATCGATTCAGCCGCGCAACTGGATTTAGTTTACTGAGCAGTGCGGCTGCAAATAGTTTTATTGTACGCATTCGCCTGGACTTATAATTTGACAGAGGGGAACGCTTGCGTATCACTCCCCTCTGTACCGCCGGTGGTCCGTGTTTTTCTATATGTACTAATAAACGGGCTCTGCGGTCTTTAAACGCACTAAGTTACGGTCAATTCTTCGTAACTCCTTCAGTTGACTACGACCGGGCGAGAAGACTAGATCTCTGTTTTACACTACTGATAATCTAACACTGATTTTACCTATTTAATACGATTAAGAAACCGCTGTCATTATTTATGTGCGCACTTTGTCAATGTGATTTCAACTGTATTTCATATAAGTATGTAATTTTATTTAGTATTTACAAAAAAATGACTGTCGTAAATGAAAATACTTCTTTTTTTTTTATAAAACGTTACCCCCACACTAGCCTTTTCTCCTGTGTCGCGGAGGCAGTTTACAAACATAAATTGCACAAGGACAAACATCCAGACCCGTAACAATTATTTGTAGGCCATACAAATACTAGTTCCGTGCGGGATTCGAACCCGCGGCCCCCAGCGCAAAAACTGATTGCTAAGTCACTGCGCCACGGAGCCGTCAATATATAATATAATAGTTCTAATATCTTGCGTGTCATATTTACCGTGCTAGATACGCGCCCACGCTGTGCCCACGTCGATCGCGCGTGATCCACAGCCGTGACACAGTTTTTGTTCTGAATTGCCGGTCTATTAGTATACATAGGAGACATTGGCTGTAATGAATAGATGATGAGAAAATAAAAAGCGCTTGCGTCCCGTGTACAGGACAGTGGAGCGAGAGCGCGCGGCCCGCGTGGCTGCTGCGCGGCGAGCGGACCGCGGCGCGGTGCGAGCGCTGCGCCCGCTGCAGCACCCCGCTGCGCCCGAGGCGGCCGCGCGCCGCCGCGCCGCGCTGCAGCTCGAGCGCGACCTCGCCAAGCTGCACGCGGTACGTGCACGCACACGTATACATGCACACACGCGCACACGCACACGCACACAACACACGTATACGTATTCATGCACACGCGCACACTGCGCTGCAAATACTACGCACGCGCACACTGCACTGCTGACACTGCACACGCACTTTTACATGTACATGTACCTACTTGTATACGTACACACTACTCACATATGCACATAATAATAATTTCCTTCAGACCGAATTTTGGTCACGGTGGCCAGTCTTAAAGGAAACAAAAGACAGGATTACAGTGCACTAGTGTATGCGCAAGCACAGGTGCACTCTCTATTTCTTCACTCGCATAGTCCGATGTTATGGCAACCCGACGCAATGTTGATGTGTTTTTCGAAGCTCGGGTGTGAAACAAAATACAACTTAGTGACTCCTCCTTTCTCTCAAGACGTTATCATTTACTGATTTTGATACGACCCGAAATTCGAACACGAGACCTCATGATAAAAGTCGCGTTTACAACCACTAAACCAACAAGTAGTCAATACACATATATACTCTTTGTACCATGATAGACCATCAATCAATTAAATGAAAATAAAACACGCATTGCACGTAAACGCATTCACAAATTGTATACTACTTCCGTGTTTCACGTCAGCTACAAGCTAACGTAAAAAAATTAGGCGGGCTTTTATTGATTCATCAAAATTATAGGAAGAACCATCTACATTAGCGCTACTTTCTTGCAGGAGTGGACGTTATTTGTGGCGCGTTCGGGTCTTGTGAAGTTCCCCGATGACCCAAGCAAATACGGCAAAGCGCTGCAGCAACATAAGGAGAAGCAACGGGAGATAAGACGGCAGCTCGAAGTGAGTTCAATCCGTACACAGACATTGTTATTTTTTCCCTATTTATTATGACAAAGGCTACAAGGCTTTCTGCCAAAAGAAATACACTATATAATAAACAATTTTTCTGTCCGTGTTTATGTGACTGAACTTCTAAACGACTGAACCGATTTTAATGAAATTTTGTATGTGTAATTAAGTTGTTTGAAACTGAATGAACCGCTACCGACCAAAGAGCATAGTAATGTCGGATAACCGCGACCATTATCGAGCTGGTCTCACAGAATACTCTATAACTGATACTCGAAATGATCCATTTGAATGATCGACCCTAATGACCCGGTTCGTGAAGCGAATCAATACTTGAATGATTTACTATAAATAAATGAATGACAATACATCGTAGCAGAGCGTCGATATGACGTTTATTTCAATTACAGAATTATTTTCATTACGAGCTATTAAAATTAAAATGTGTAGTGTTTACCGTAAAACTGACGCTATTTTGTATTGTCATTGTCATCGGCAGTAGGGATGTCGATTCTCTCCAAAAAAGATCGATTTTTAAATCGATTCGAATCGTAAGCTGATGTATCGATTCATATAGATTAAAATAGGTTAGGTTCATCTTATGTCAAAGAACCTAATTGATTGACCCCGACTCCACCTGGTACGAGTCTGTCCTATCCCTAGAGTATTTTTATAGAGCCGGAGGCGCGTAGGGAGCAGCAGAGGCTGCTCTTCCCGCAGCGCCGGAGACGTTGCAGTCTCAAAATAAATACAGAAATCCCACTGAATCAGTCCCCCTATTTTTTTCTGATGAAGAGGGTTCCCTCTTCCGTAGGGGGGAACCCCCTTACCCCCAAGGGTCTCCTTGGTTTTTTACACTTAATATTAATCCATAAAATGGGGAAAATTTTCTCAGAATTAAAAATGTAAAACTAGAAATGGGGGGGGGGGGCTCCGAAACTTTCCTTTTAAGGGGGTAGTACACCTTCCTTCCACGCCCCACCCCTCCCCTCTCAATTCGACGAACGTCAATGGAAATTCGTAATAAAATAATTCTGTAATTTAAATATAATTCTAGAATTCGATATAATCTGTGGTAGGGGTTGACATAAATATTGCAAAAATAATTGATTTTCAATAAAAAAAAATTCTCAAAAGTACGTGTTTCCGAATGTTGAAAGTTTGTGTGTGTGCTTATAATAATGCAACCTTTCTGTAAAAAAAATATCAACCCCCAACTCGACGGATGTCAATGGAAAGTCGTACCAAAGAAATTTGTACATTTCACAGGAGCGTTTGGCGGCACTTCAGGCGGAGGCGCGTAACCTTCTGATGCTGCACCGGCCCTGGAGATGCGTGGAGGCCGATTTTGCCGAGTTTCCTGCTCCGGAATTGGCTGCTGTAAGTTCAAATATGATGTTGATAGTCGATTATTTTTCGTAATTGATCTTGAAGATAAACGATTAATAGTCGAGTATCAATAATTTCTCCAAATCCTATTAAACTATAGTCAAGTTTGGACCAAAAGACTGAAAATTGTTTCATATGAAGTTAGTGTTTGTTTTTTTAGAATAAGGGTGACAAACGAGCACACGGTCCACCTGCTGGTAAGTGGTTGCTGGGACCCATAGACATCTACATCTATCCTCAATTACGAATCAAAATGCAGATGCGTTGTTACCCGTGAGGACTAAGATGGAATGCCTCGTTTCCAGTAAAGAAGGTCTGCGGTTCTCCGGTCGAGGCGACCCATTCGTGCTACAACTATACCATTAATATAGCTGCAGTATAGCTCTACTACGTAAAATAAAATAAAACTATTGTCGGGAATGAGGGTAAAAAAATAAAATGAAATACGAACAAATGAAGGTAGAATGTAAATCTCCCACTTGTTTTAGCAGTATAAAGTATCGTTCAGGCCATTAAGAAGATCAGTTGGTAATTCTAAGAGTCGCACTGTCGTTACTTTGCCCGTTGGGATATTCTACTAGTGTAGGCAAGGAGGATCCATTGCTGAGGGGCTGCCCTGTGTTACATTGAGATGGGCAGTGATGCGGTAGGTTTGCATACTTTGGTATTATCATGTAATTGGGCCCTGATAGCAAGCAAGGTTTGTTACCGAGTAGTGTTCTTTTATTTAAATACTTTTGGGATAATTTCTAACATCAGAAGTGGAATAGTTGCTTACACTATAATATGTAAATATTTAATATATTTTATGTTTAATTATAATATAATTTATAGCCAAATTAAAACAAACAACGCTGCAAATGCGTCGTCCACTTTGAGTTTGAAACTCTAATATTATTAAGCACGTATTTCATGAAAGACTAGCTGTTAGCTGATTGGCAGATAGCTGATGTTACAAGGAGTAACTTTGGCTACTTTTATTTTAGAAAAGCAATTACAGTCCCGCGCAAATAAATCAAAACCCATGAAATACAATAGTAATAAATTCCACGCGGACGCAGTCGCGGGGAACAGCTAGTTTTAAATAAAGTTATTTGTTCGCGCCAAACGCTAATTCTAAGAATTGACGCCAGAGGGCGCTCGGCGCGGTGCATTCGTACCGGTTTGACGTTCGCGCGAGCGGAGTTGGTTGCAGGCGGGGCGCGTCGGAAGTTAATTAATGCAGCGCAGTCAATAGGACAGCGTGGACGCGTACCGTGTAACTTCTAAATGGTGTCGGTTTTTGTTGGCAAATCTATGCAACGACGAGGAGTTTTGTTGAGTCTAGAAAAATAGATTGTCTGCGCGGGCGCCGGACTCGTGAGGTCGCTTTAAGGTCGCTTCTATTTTGAGTTATCTTTTTAGTGCGTTTTATCGATAACGAGGCCGTCTAAGTGTTGAGTGATTAAATTAACGTACCTTTGTTGGCAAGTAATTTACGTCCATTTGTATAGTGATTGCATTTTGAAGCGCATTTGCAATATTTAATTTGCTTGAATGACCTGTTAATATCGTACGAAAGAAACTTAGTTTGTTGTGTGGAACGCGGAACTTTGTGACCCGAGAGAAGGTCGCGTTCGGTTTCTAGAAATAATTTGTTGCTAAGTGAAAACGGAAGTTGAACTTTGATCCACCGTTCATTAGTTGTGCCGTGTGTCACGTGTTTGATTACGATTAACGGGGATTTAGTTGAGTTTGAAGTTAATTAAATGTACAATAAGGTTGATAGATTGAAATAGTGTACAATAAAGTAGATAAACTGAAATAGTGAATAGAAGTCAGCAGTTTTCCATTGGTGACGTCCGCTGGAGTGATACCTCATCGTGGGCAGCATCGGACCAGGCCGCTGCCCGATCACCTCGGTTGAGTCAGGTCACACACATACTCACCTTCTAACACAAACTTACATGTACCTACCTACCGCCTGATCAAGCCATGTAGTCAGTCTTAGCTTCGAAACCAGGTACGTCCTATTTAATTGCCTAGCCTTATATCTATTGTGTCGAATTATTGTCCATAGGCCATTTGGGCCCCGTCCTCTGTTGTCCGTCGAGGAGGCTACTATGGGCCCTAGCCCAATCGACCTTTGCTGGGGCAACTCAGGTCGTGAACATTATTACTTTTATCGGCAGGCCATAAACCCGAAGACTGTGAAAGTGGGGACAATCCGTTATCCAGCCTCCGAACCGGCGCAGACGAACGAGGACACGGTCTACGTCACTCCGTCGCAGCTCGCCAAGTGAGTATCAGAGTACTGTGAGTGAGAGAAAGAAAGGACTCTGACGACTGTGTAGTATTTTTTATAGAATAAGGGTGACAAACGAGCACACAGTTTACCTGATGATAAGTGGATCAAAATGCAGATGCGTTGTTACACCTGAAGACTAAGGCTTAACTGACACTGGCACAGAGTCGAAGCGACGCGACGCGTCATGTTTTGTACGCTGAGGCGCGCCATCGACGCGCGTCTGCGCGCGACGCTGCTCGTAAGCCGCATACTTTTTGCCAGGCATTTTTCCTACAATTTTTATCACTGTAGGTTTTCGCCTTGACGTTAAACAGACATTCTTATTTGTGTACTAAATAAATAATTTTTTCATCTTAGTCCATTGTCGTCGTAGTTCAGCATTGTCGTCCGTCCCTTGTAGTCAGACGCCGCGTCACTGCGCCCAAGTACGCGCGGCGACTCTCGAATCCACTGGACTCCAGCTGAGCGTCGAAACGCGAATGCCCGAGTCAACGCGCGTTGACGGGCGCTTACATAGCAGAAATTTGTACTTAAATAATAGAACAATAGAGATGAATATGCTGTAGGCGGAAAAATATGACGCGTCGCGTCGCTTCGACTCTGCGCCAGTGTGAATTGAGCCTAAGATGGAATTCCTTGATTCTAGTAAAAAAGACATGTGGTTCTTTACACTGACCATGCGAAATACAGTAGCATTAAGCTGTGTGATATAACAGCTAGTATTCTGTGCGTGGCCATGGGTGAACCATTAAAATATAACCAGGTAAATAATGCTCTAGCCGAAATGAGTATATGGATAACACAATTTGCTTTTAAACTGCAATAATACCGTGCAGTTCTGGTGTAAGAATATTTACCACTTGATATCGTCCCGTGGGTTTCGTAAGAAGGGACAGGGGGAAACAAACTAGGAGATGGACCAATAACGGCTAGAAAGAAAACTCCGGTTGGAAATCCACTTGCCAAGCGTTGCAACTATGTCAAATATAACCTTAAGAGGCAATCTTTAGAGGCGCCTATGTTGTGTACTTTGACAGGCTGTATTAAAAGAAAAATCTGAAAAAGGGTTGACCCTGCAGGCCATCCCTGGAGTTTTTAATTTATGTTTTCTTGTTTTCTATTTTTCGATAATCTGAAACGACCGATTGACTTGAAAATCTAATCAGCTCGAAATGTCAGTGAACACTTTCGATCGCTCATCGCGATCGGTTGATTCGTTCTGAAGATATCGTACGTCAAAATTTCGGACCGAAATCTGTAACTTCCTACTTTTGAAAATTAATAATAATTTTCAAAGCGGGAAAGTTAAAATTGAATTACGAAATATATTTTAACTTTCTAACATTTAAAAATAGAGTTACATTAATTTTTCAAAGATATGACGTCCGTTAACAAATATTTTCTAATTTCTATATGTCTAAAAATAATGTCACTCACACAAAAGGATTTTTCCTGTATGATAAGAAGATTTTCATTTATAATTTGAATTTATTGCACATGGCACATTATTCGTAGGCCATACAAACACTAGTTCCGTACGGTATTCGAACCGTTGTATAAATATAACCTACATTGCCCACCATAAGTCCACTGATGAACTTAGGCCTCCCCATAGATTGCCTCATTTGCCATAGTTGCAGCGCTTAGCAGGCGGTTTGATAACCGTAAATTTTTGTTATTATTGAGTAGTTATCAGGAAAATGCTGTTGACCGTGTCGTGTTTCAGTTTCCCTTTGTTGCCTCTTACGAAACCTACGGAATGATATGAGGTAGTGTGTTCTCTTACACCACAGCTACACTACAACCTACATTGTTATAAATTCATTTTATTTCCACAGACTACGCGAGTTGGTAACAGAACTGCAGTCCGAAGACGTCAAGTTGGAGCTCGCTCCTCTCGATGACACCGTTTGTGCGGCTTAAACATATGTCATAATCAATTATACCTAATCTAGACAGTGGTTGTATTGAGAAATGCACCTTAAGACCATATAAATACGGTTTAATTTCGCTGTAAGATGAAACTATCTTGTATATCGGCCACAAACCAAACCAATGCGCGGCTAAAAATCACCTACAACTTAATCGAGGTCGTATAGTAAAATGTACCTTAAAGTTATGTAAATAAGCTTTAGACTCGTTGCGAGATTTATGCCTGCTTTTACGGCTTAATATGCACCTTGTGAAGTTGTATGTTGCCTTCAATTCCTTTAGGCGATTCTTGACAATGGTCGTGTTGTAAAATATATAGTAAATATATGCAGATATGGTTTAAATTCATGAAATCAAATAATTTAAATAAATCTATGTAATAGGGTAAATTATACAATGGATTCGCTTAATACAATTTTAAGGTCCATTTTACTATGTTGTCACTTAAAATACTATAGAACATCGTTAATTTAAGCAAGAGTAAACCGTACGTCAGGTATCTTAAGGTTCATTTTATAATAACTGTACTTATAAAATTATGTCATGATCTTAAAAACTAGAAGCCTCTGAGTATTTTTTGAAACTTCTAATTATGTTCGATAATTTGTTGTGTTTTAGTTAAGTTCGACAGTAAGTCCCGAAGGCCTAAGCCCAGCCGTGGGATTCGTAATTCCCACTTTTTATCGTAGCTGATGGGGATAATGGGGAAGGGTCGCTATAGTTGCCTCGAAATGTCATAGCCAATGAACATGACAATTCGGACAGAACCGAATGTTAGGAATTGTTCTCTGAGCTCCAACTACCGAACTCGTGCGAACCCACACTCGAGATCGTTCTCGTTTTCGGAAGTACCGAATTCGTTGGAACGTGATGAAATGTTCGGTTAATCGATGGACTTCTGTTAGAGTGCAGCAAAAGAAAAAAATATGGTGTATCTAGTACCGAAGCGTGACTGGAGTTTATTCCTTACTCCTGAGTGTCAATTTTACGTAACACTGTTACCTCGAGAGTCAAGTCAACCAATTCGCTCTTTATAATGACCTATAAAATGTAGTAGATGGCGCTATTACTTTACAAGCGTTTAGTATGAGATGCGCGAATGTGTTGTGCAGAGGGGCAATATGGCACCTCACTTTTTGGTAACACTCGATTTTGCTCCCCATCTAATACGTGTACAGCGAGCTATACATGAAAACCGATTCTTAAGGAGTAAACTCCAATAACAATAACGATAATTTGAGATAAATAAGGTTCTCTTTTTATTTACGAGAATACTACACATTCAAAAATAAAAAAACCGGCCAAGTGCGAGTCGGACTCGCGCACAGAGGGTTCTTCCGAACAAATCCGTAGGTATATAAGTTTAAAATTATTAAAAATGTATGCTTTTCGCAATTTTTCCTTTATCTGTGCTAATACGAATACGTTGCTTCGTACCAAATTTTAGATTCTGAGTTCACGGGAAGTACCCTGTAGGTTTTGATTCCCTTGCGAATTTCGAAAATTTGCGGCATAAACGGCTGCATCTTTTGATTGCGTTGGCTTAGAAATTTGATTTTTTCACAGCTCCAAGGGACAGTAGACTTGAGTATTTGATAATTTTAGCTTCCAACATCCACGCGTTCCTGAGAAAAAGGGTCTTGACAGACAGAAAGACAGACGGACAACAAAGTGATCCTATAAGGGTTCCTTTTTAGGTCCGGAACCCTAACTAGTATAAAAACATACGTGAGTGTTGTGGAACACTCGGTTGGAACGAAGTTCCTATCGTAGTATATTATTATTGATCAACAAATACAAATAAATGAGTTACTAGCGTCTATTAAAATGAAGCGTCATTTAAAATAAAATAATATTTCTTTCATGGCAAGATAAGAAAAAGTGCGAGGGAGATGGATATTATTCCATCTTGCTTCCTTATAGCCGCCGAGACGGTCTACACTACATCAGAACGGGTCGTGACGGAAAAATCCTACACTTTTTCTCGCCTAGCCCCCATCCGCCAAATTCGTACCGTCCGATAAGAGACTTCGTTCCAAACCAGGTTAATAATTAAACGCAATAACATCGGTAAAAACAAGTGCAACCAACCTTACAGTTTTTGCTGTGAATCTACAGTTTGTTCGGATCTGATTTACTTACATATATTTAGTTAATATTGTAAATCCATGGTCTCTACTAAAGAAACGTTATCCCCACACTACAATACATCAAGGAAAAACGTCTAGAACGTATTTGTAGACTTGTTCTGTGCGGGGCTCGAACCCGCGACCCTCATTGCATTATCTCATTACTAAGCCACTGTGCCACGGAGCCGTTAAATTTAGCTACTTTATGCATATATTTCATCAAAACTCCTGTAGATTTCCGTATTCGTCAATAAAAACTCAATTATCTACAGTAGTTCCCATACAACTTTATAATTTTGCCGTACTATAAATTGGTAAAAGAATTATGAATTTTATCGTGTTTAATTTTCTGATGCTTTGAGTGCTTTGCAGAAGTCTAGATCATGGGGTGACTAAGGTGTTTAACGTAATGTCAGTTAATCTAGGCTACCTTCAGTTTATAATTATTAATCTATGCTCCTATTTATAGGACGATTTACACTTGAACAAGTACAGTAGCGAGTTAACTTGCCAACCTGGCGAGTTAAGTAAAAAATATCGTTTGAACGGCAATCAGTGAGTTAAGTAGCAAGTTAACAAGTTTTTTACGTGGTAGAGCCATGCTGCAGCTATATTAAATAGTATAGTTGTAGCACGAATGGGTCGGCTCGACCGGGGAAGGACCACGCTCTCACAGAATACTAGCGTAAAATAGCAGCTTAACGCTGCTGTGTTTCGTATGCTGAGTGTAGAGAACCGGAGACCCTTTTTACTTGAAAAGAGGCATTCTATCTTAGTCGCAATTCGCAAACGAGGATAGATGTAGATGTCTATGGGCCACAGCAACCACTTACCATCAGGTGGACTGTGTGCTCGTTTGTCACCCTATCCCATAAAAAAATGTTGAACAGGATAGTCGGCCGGGCTATTTTTCGGCGAGTTAAGTTCGAAGTGTTGCAACTAAACTCGCCGCACGTGTAAACGAACGAGTTAGCTTAATGCATAAGTTAACAGAACGCAACGATCGCATTCGATCCTCAAAATATAAAATTGTATCTGTTTTTTTTTAAACTAAACTCGCCACGAAGACATTTGAACGCTACTGCCCACTTAACCGTTTACTGTCAACTGCCCTGTAACTAAACTCGCTACTGTACTTGTCGAAGTGTAAATCGATATTAATACGTGTTCATTTCATGGATGCCGTTACCTCCCGCCGCGCTCCCTCATACCGGGCCTCAAGCGTCGCCCTTATAGTACCGATAACAACCCTGAAGTATATCTAGGTCCATTTGTACTATTTTGCTCCCGTGCGATCTCTAGTTTGTTATTGTTTTTGTTAGTGTTGATTTTGTGTATCTGTTAATTTTTAAATTCGTTAATATGTGATAAACACAGAATGGATTACTAATACGAAATGGCAATAATACAGAAACGAACGATTTCGATAAAATAACTGGTATCGAATTTGTGGATGCGTAAATATCTACCTACCCGTTTTTGTTCCCGCCTTAGTAAATAATTCATTTAAAATGTATATGTAATAAAACTATATAAAATAAAACTAAATAAAATAATACAAAATAAAAATATTTTATTTTATCGGACTCGTTTTCATATTAGTGTTATTATTTTACTTTACTAACTAAATAAATTATTCAATAATATGCATTTTATCAACTTGCTTGTGTACAGGGCAACAAACTACAAATCGAACTTCTTAAAATTCAACACTTACTGTAATAGTTTTGTCTACGGTACCGTCAGCTGTGACGTCAAAACGGTCGACGACGGCAAACTCGAAATGAACGCGTAGTAACTTTAGTCCGTTGAATTACGATTCAACTTATTGTATGGATAAACATTTTAAAAATATAGTTTTGTCTATTTGTGAAGGCGATATTGATAACTTGAATATATATGGTGAAATAAAATATAAGCAAGGAACTATTCTTAAAATTTTCCTTCAGCTTTGAGCACGTGGTAATTCAGCATTCAAACTGTAATTAATATTTTTATTAGTACCAGCAGGGATCGAATCATGGTCGCTCGCGTACTGTGAAACTTACAGCGAACACTTAACGCCTCTGAACTACCACTGTTCTTTACTAAACGATAATAGAGAAATTACTCATTCAACATTTCTCTATCACCACGTGAATCGGTGTGTTTGCTAGTACTACGTGACCAAAACGATTACGTGTATAACTGCTAATAGACACGTGTCATTCATTCATTTATAGTGATCCGATCATTCAAGTGTTGATCCGTCTAACGAACCGAGTCATTCGGATCTATCATTCAAATTGATAATTTCGAGTTTCAGTACTCTGACCCGACCCGCTCGATAATGTCGGTCGTCGGACATCTCTATACCTATTCTTTCGTCGTAGGGCCTGTCAATCCTTTGATCCGGAACGTTCAAAAATGCAATTGCAATCATCAATGCTTTGATGCGACCCGGGTGAAATGAACGTATTATTCACGATTGACACATGTCTAACAGCTAAGATGTCATTAGAACTAGGGAAGGAACACCGGAACGGTGATTGGTCACAAGGGGAAGCGGGGGAACATCAAGCGCCTGATTGTTCTGGTGAAGTTGTAGGTAGTGTAGTGCCGGGGGGAGATGCTAGTTATGACTACGTGATTTATCCAAAATGTTTAACTATATTGTAGCTTCCAATTAGTAAATATTTATTTTAAAAAAATGAAGAGATAGAGTGAAATAGAAACAGAGAGATTGAGAGAGAGGGTGCGAAAAAGAGGTGAAATGTAAGTGTTAAAAGTTTTAAAATGTCTTGATTAGAAAGTCAGTATTCACTACAATTATAATTTAATCAAACATTTACATTTATTTGAAAAAATGCGAGGCAGAAAGAG